ACGAGCCAGCAGGCCCGCAAAGAGAAAGGCCTCCGGTGCCTTGTCCCCTTTTTGATTGATTGGCAGCAGCTTCCTTAGGACACGTGCCAAGCAGCCCCCGCTGCGTGTGTCCTGTTTCAGTCACTTGCGGCCCTAGTTAGGAACTAATAACAAACGCATCGCGCGGTCCGGTGGGGTTTCCGCATGTGACCTTGTTTCGCTCCTGCCCGGTGGCTACCGGCTACTGCCGGCGCGGAAGGGGTGCTGATCTGCAGATGGCCGACCTGTGTGGGCAGCACACCTCGAGCGACCCTTCCATCCTGGGGTGGATACTGTTAGCCTCTCTTGTTATTAGCCACCTGCTGCCAATTTGGGGCCCCACACACAGCTGCGGGTATCCCGGACCGCTCGAACTAACACTTCGCTGCGTGCAGGGGCTTCCTAGAACCCCATAGAAAGTGAACGTTGTGCCGTTCGTACGCATGTTTCTGGTGACGGTCTGGTGTGGGTATGGCAGCACCCGATTCAGAGCAGCCGAAAATGGGGCCTGGCGCGGGGCTGTCTACCGGTGCACCAGCAGCAGCTCCCACTTGGATATGTAACGTAGCTTAGCTCCGCTGTGGTTTCAAATCCTCGACGTTAAGTTTGGTGATCGGTTGTGCAAGCTCGCGGCTGCAGACAGCAGCACGGCCAGGCATTCATCAACTCCCGTTTTGCACCTCGTCCTCAATACAGCTATCAAAAGGTTTATTCCCTCCTTTCAAATTATTTTACAGACGACGATTACCACAGCGGAGTGCGTCACATTAAAAATTGAAATCGACTATCACTGCGTATATCTATACCTATATAAGTATAACAATATAATATACATTGATATATAATATTTGATATAATTAATCTACAGAACCCTCGCTGACGCACATGCAAAGCTTTGGCAATCAAATGTTGAACGCCGCACGGTTATCAACCGCACGGTCCGGTCCGCCAATCCCAGCAGTCGGAACCGATAAGTAGCGCGGAAGGTTCCTCGTCCAGAACACTCATTTGAGATGCAGATACCCCATCCCGGCCTCATCGATTTCCTCTCACAGCCCCCTCAGGTGCCTGCTGAGGACCTCCACTGGGTGACCCAGACGAGCCCTGAAGCCGCCTTGGCTCCATAAATTGCCGCTAGGGCTCCATAAATTGCAACCAATTATCCACAGGGTCCCGCACTGCTATCCTCTTCTGCCTTGCGACATCCTGAGCCAGCCAGCAGCCAGGGCCTTCCGCGTTTGGTCCTTCCCTTGTCGAGCATGCACTACTGGTCCCTGGGCCCGTCCTGTTTGACGGGACTGGAAGGAAACATGCCATCTTGCATTCCGCGAAGGCTAAAAGCCAGGTAAGATCCAGGGGTTATTCATTGCAGCGATGCAGTACGACGCCCTGCAAACGCATCTAGGTTGGCCCTTTTGGCCCGCACACAAATATATATGCAAATTGGAATTTTTAACAGCCTTTGACATCGACCAATAAAGAACGGCTTATCAGCAATCGCACAGAGTAATTAATCATTTCGGTCCGCAGAAAACATAGCAGTTTTGGCTTTCCAAACCTTTAGGTCGCAACAGCAGCGCTTATGACGGCCGCAACGTAACATCTCGAAGTTCGCACCGTAAACAAATACTCGCGTTGGGACCCAGATGCGCAGCTTGCATGGCATTTCGTACAAAACATAGACACCACCACATGGGATGCAATACATAACAATATAGTAAGCTCCAAACAGCGAATCACTGTGACAGTCGCATCATTTTGGCCATAAAAAGCCAAGACATGTCATGTTAGGTAATCGATCTTGCTTCTTGGCTACGGCATTGCCGGCGGCGCGAAATGTACAGCACCGTACGGATGCACATACCGTAAACCCTAGCCTGCGGAATGAAATATGTGTTGCCATGTTTGTACGCGTGTCCAATCTGACAGCGAGAATGCACAGCCCCCAGGGCGTTACCAGACGAAGCAGGAGAGCGGGACCCATTTGGAAAGGTTCCCTGGACGGGCAGGGAAAGGACTGGCCCAATCCACTGCGCGCTCCTCACCTTTGTCCCCACGAAATGTAACCTAGGGAGCAAAAGAGACCACACCAAAGACCACAACAGTCAACCCCAGGCCACACCACTCTCCACACAGCATTATCGCACGTCATCGCACAACGCCGAGAACGCGCTGTAAGGAGCACAGAGTGAGCAGAATGGCGCTTCCGGATGAGGCCGACCTGCAGGTCGCAGGCGTGTTGACTCCTCCCCTCCTCCCCCCAGTGCACTCGCCCCCTCCGAATATGCGTGCATGCCGACAACAGAGGACATACATTTAAAGGGTCGGGATCCCTAAACCAGCTTGATTACCTAACAGCGCGCGCACACGCACACAGACAGACACACAGACACACACAGACTCAGATCATTTAGACGCATACACACAGGCGCCGAGAACACAACCCGTGTCCAGCACTAAAGACCTGCTCACAGCCAATCCGGAGTGCGACGCAACGTCGCGGGGCTACCAGGAGTTGAATAAAGGATCAGTTCGGTCAGACACCACCGCGCAATCATCATCATCAGCAGCAGCAGCAGCAGCAGCAGCAGCAGCACAGTCGTAGAAGAAATGTGTTTGACGTCATCTGTGTGTGTGTGTTTGCGTGTGTGTATACACCCAGTGTGGTTGATGATGGGCCACGAAACCGGCGAAACGGAATGCCGCGCAGAGGAGCTGCCCCCCGGGCTAGCCAAAACTGCACAGCTGCAACCGTCGTGTTGGACATGCAAGCATACAAGCAAGAATGTCCTCCACGAAGACACGGAGAGACAATAAGCACCGCTCGGATTTAAGATGCTCGGATTCGTCGAGAAAACGCCGTTCACGATAGGAACGCGTTGTCTTTTCCATTACCGGAACCGGTAGCACGGCAGCTCACTCAAGTGATGACCGGAAGTGCAGATATGAAATTTGAATCAAATCCAGATAGAAGCCAGTTTGAAATGATGCCCTTTGTGGTCACACGCCACAGGCGGGGCGGGGCCGCCGCCGACGGAGAGGGCGTGGACACCGTGGGCGGGTTCTCTTCCGGGGACACCGAACGGTACCAAAAGAAACACAACACGGACGAGAGAACATACGCGTCCTCACACTCTTCCAGATGCCTGCTTTGCAAGCAAAATTGCAAACCCGCTATATCAGAACAGCCAACCATACATCGAACAAACCCCAGCCAACAAGGCCAGGAGTGAACCAATTAACCGATCAATCAACTAGCCAACTAACAAACGAATTGTTTAACCGTTAGCAAAGCACATCGTAAGTTCTTACTTCTTTTCGGCTTCCACAGCGCCACCCTAGCTGGGCAGGCTCCGGCGCACTTTCATTGCGGATTATACCATTGATGCATAGCTTACGTAAATTTTCGACTACCGTCACAGCTTGCCCCTCCATAACAAAGGGGTATATTTTTGATCTCGAGCACCTCACCCTCTCAGTCCTTGAAGACCGTCCGTCCGGACCTGCAAGTGCGTCGCGGCTTTTGCATGGAAAGGACAGCACCAGCACCCTCACCGACAGGTAGCACCCTTCGGGCTCCTGTTTTCCACCAGTTGAGGTTTCGTGTGACACAACCCGTCCGATGCACTCCGTTATCCACTGCATGCATGGACAACCGAACGGTATGCTGCAAGACAGTGCGCGACAGCGGGCCGCAGCACCTGGCACTGCCCAGAGCCCCCGACGCCCATCACCGCCGAAAGAGCAGCGCCAGCAGTACCGAAAACAATACCAAAAACAATAACAGTAGCAGTAACAGTAGCAGCAACAACAGTATTCGTGTGATGATCTTGACTGATTCTCATACAGAACGTCATTCGATCTTACCCCGCTTAGCCGCACCCATTGCCCACCACACTCACCATTACTACCGCACTACTATGAACATTTCACGCATATAACCATCCACCATACTGTACACCATAATGTACTGCATATGCCTGTGTATGTATGTATGTGTGTGCGGTTTGTTGCCAGCCGACAGTCACACGCCAGCATGCCCCTCGCTTTTCCTCCTCCACCATTCGCCCAGTCGTGCACGCAACGCCGTACACCTAAAAGCAGCAGCTGGCGCCGATATTGCTCAGTGCCAGCCGCCACCGCGCACCGCCGCTGTCGCTGTCGCGTTGCCACAATGGGTCAATGCCAATCGAATGCCAATCGAATGCTGCTTGGGTGTCCAGACCGAACTACAAGCTGCTGCTTCACAACCGTATCGCTTCACGGGGGTGGTGGTATCGCCACTGCGAAATCAACACCGATATCACCACAACCAAGGGAACCTCCACCATCCTGCCGCATAAAGTTATCATCCTTAGCAGCACCAACACCAGAAGCAGCACCAGCGTCTTCACCGGCATCACTATTATTATATTAATAGTAAGGGTAACATCATGACAGCATCAGCCCACCATCAGCAACAAACAGCATCTTGAAAACAACCAGGCAAGCTACACAGCTCCTTACCCACCAAGAGGAATAACAACAAAACATTTCATAAAAGGACTTTCCTCCAGTCATGCTCTTCAGGAAAGGAGCGCTTCTCGGAGCTTCCGGAACTTCCGGCGGCCTATATATACACACAAACACACAGACAAACACATGCACACACACACACACCCATCTCAACCTCACTTCCCCAGGTACCTCTTCTCCAGTCATGATGGATGCACATAAATGTTCCCAGAGTCGTATTATGTAGGGGGCATATCACGGGATCTGACATCCGCCAATCGGTACTATTTTTCTTTGTAGTCGTGATACGACACCCGCTCACCCACAACCACACCACAGGTGACCCCAAGAGGGTGAAAAACCGCATCCTCGCAGCCGGCAGCAGCGACCATGCTGGGCCAACAAAGGACGATACGGGCGGGCGATGTGCTGCTGTCCATGTGGTGGTGGTGGTGGTGCTCATTCAGCGGCATTGGCTCATGTGCCCCTCAGATCCGATCAGCGGCTGCTGGACCTGCCCGCCGGCGGTCACCATTGCCCTCGATGACTCGGACAGCTTCCGTGGACTTCCGGCTATGAACCGACTCCAACGGGTTGAGGGAATCCTGCTGGGCCCGTCCAGGAACCGCAGTAGCAGTAGCAGCAGCAGTAGCAGTAGCAGCAGCAGCAGCAGTAGCAGCAGCAGCAGCAATAGTAGCAGCAGCAGTACTAAAAGCGGTTTGCTCGGGATCCAACTGGACCGACCGACGACGACCGAAGTGACCATGTGTTTCGCGGGCAGCTGGGTACGGATACGGATACTGTACGCCCAGCTGGGTACGGATACATGTACGAGTACCGACGTCCTCACATCACAATCAACCAGCATGTATATGTCGATAGGTGTCTTGTAAGGCACCAGCCAGCCAGCCAGCCAGCATCCCGGCATCCCGAAGTCACCATCACCATCAGCCCGTATTGGACAAGAGGAGTTGCAGGTTCAGACTGTCCGCAGCCCACATCAGGCGACCGGTTGCCCCCTGCTCCCGAAGGTGCCCTCAGAACTGCGGGGACGGCGACGGCGTCGATGACGACAAGTGTCACAGGAACGGTTACAGGAACGGTTAGAGGAACGGTTAGAGGAACGGTTACAGGAACGGTTAGCGAAGAAACGTTACATATGCACTGCTTGTTTGGTGTCAAGGGAGGGTAGAGGAGCTCCAGGATACGCTTCATTTTGCGAGTGATATTGCACTGCACATACAGGGCCCACATATCCGTCCTTAGTTACATATCCGCCCCATCACAACACAAACGAAAAACACATAGATATCTCCAGACATGCATACACGCATTCCCCCCTTCTGTCCCACCCACCCCCAGACACGCACACGCCCACATACCACCCACCTGCTGCATGAGCGACCCGAGCCAGGGGTGGCGGCTCAGCTGCAGTGATGTGGGTCGGTCCTCCGGGGCCTCAGCCAGCGCCAAACTGATGAAGTCGCGGGCGTGGGGGGAGGTGGACGAGGGAAAGCTCATGTTCTTCCCCCCAGCAAACTTGGGCGAAATGGGGCCCACAGCAGCGTGCGTCGTGGTCGTGGGCGCCTGTGGTCGCTCTCCCACGAAGGGGGCAAAGCCCACCAGCAGTTCGTACGCCAGTACACCGGTAGCCCAAATGTCCTGTGGCGGGGAATCACGGGTTCAGGGAAGGAAGGGAGTCTTAGGCATGGCGTGAAGGTGAGGGTGGGGGAGAGCGCTGTCGTTGGGTGTTGCAGCGGACTTCCCCCGGAAGTGCGGACCCCGGAGTGGGTGCATCCGCGCGGCAGTGTCCGAACGCAACACAATAGCGAAAGCGTTTGTTTCAGAGTTTGCACGGCTTGGGAGCCTGTGAGAGGAGGGCATCAACTCTACACACGAAAGCGATATCTTTCTGCCCGCCATATCGCGTGGCAAATCCTCATCTCCAGTTCGCGAGGACCCCCCACTGCGCTCCATTTCTACATGCAGTCACGCACCACGCGGTCCAAGCCAACACCGCAACCTCCCCCCCAAACACACACACGCACCACGGCTGTTGTGTACGCCAGGTCCATTTTCTCTTTGTTTTCCTCGGGCAGCATTTTGAGGGGGCAGCGCTCCACCTCGGGCGCCATGTACTCCACTGAAACGAGGGGCGAGGGGGGTGTGTGGGAGGGAGGGAGGAGGGAGGGAGGGAGGTTGAGGGAGGTTGAGGGCAGGGATAATGGATGGGGACGAATGGGGATGGGATTACCGTAGTGAAACATGTAAGATAAGCACAGAAGAGACAGATTCGTCTCTAAATGCACGGGGTTCTTACAGGGTTTTGTACGACTTACATGTGCCGGCGCGGGTGACGGCTCGCTCCTGGTTCAGGTCAATGCTGACGCCGAAATCCGCCAACAGCAGCCGCCAGTCGTTTGTGAACAAAATGTTCTCAGGCTGCAGAGGAAGAACACAACCAGAGTGATCTGCAGGTGCTCTACTGGATTGCTAAGCAAGATTCAAATCGAAAGCGCGGGGCGGGCACAGCGATGTTCATGTCGGTGCAAGGTGATCAGCTTCAAACACAAAACGAGGCGCATTACCCGTCGACCTGCACCTCTACCTCTCCGTCTCCCCTCCAGGACCGTGACAGGAGGAATGAAGTACTGTAGGCCGGGCAGCACTCCCTCTCACACTCTCACACACTCACTCACACTCTCACACTCACACGCACACAACACACCCACACCCACACCCACGCACCTTGATATCCCTGCAAAAGCAGCAAGCCGGAAGCAAAACCCTAAGTTAGACGAATAAGCAAGTAAACTTCAAACGTATGTCAAGTTGCTGACGGGTCAATGATTTCTCGACATTCACACCGTTAGTTGATCCCCGGACAGCCTTTTTCGTTAAGATCGACATCTTTGTTATACGACGCCCAATAGAGTTCGTTTTATGAACTACATTTCAAACTTCTTTCTGCTCACCGGTGGCAGATGCCCTTGGCATGAAGGTACGAGAGTGCGTCCATGAAGGGCGCCAGGACCAGAAACACCAGGTGGGCCTCCGTCATGCGGCGGTTGAGTGAACGGTAAATGCCGTACAGGTCGCCCCGCCCGGCGTACTCCTGGACGAGCACCAATCGCTTCTGCATTGGGTAGTGGAAGCCCGAGCGCGCAACACATGGTCCGGTGCCCGATGTTGATTTGGACAGAACCTCAGCTGATCTCCACCTATCGGTTGCGGGCCTGGTCGCGACCGGCCTGACTGAGCTGTCAGCACAGTGCGGGAGCTGCTGCTGCTGCTGCTGCTGCTACTACTACTGAGAGCTTCGGCCGCACTCCTCCATTTATAACCCGCATAGTCAGCATCCATCCGCCCATCCACGTCATCCCCATTCCGGGACCTCACGGACTCCCCCTCCGAAACCGTACGACGTCATCTCATCTCCCGCCATGATGTGGCCACAACCCGCCACAACCCAGCGCGTACCTCATCCTGCGGACCCATGAGGGTAATTGAAAATCGGAGGTTTTTATTATTTTAGCATTGTTTAAGCTTTTAAACGCAAGGCAACGGACGTGCGGAGGCAGTTCATACGGCCGGGGGCAGGATGGGACTGGCAGTTTGGTAATGGCGGACCAGCCCTAGCGCAATGCATTAATTCTCTGTTCCTTTATATTGTCGAGCAGGATACTGATCAGTTTCACTCACTGGTCGACAGCCTGGCCTTCGATATGGCGGTGTCGTGCAGGCAACCATTCGGGAGTCAAAAGCAAATTACCTTCCTTAGCGGCTACCGGACAACGCGAATCAGTCAGTGGTGACACAAGATCAGGTTCGCGCTTTGCACTCACCTGGAAAGCGCCGTACAGCATAACGATGTGTTTGTGTACGAGCTCCACGTGGATCTGGGTTCAGTTCGTACATGCATGTAGGGGTTCGTGCACAGGTCAGTACGGGCCGTACATGATGTTTAGGGCGCCTCGGGACAGCAGCACAAGGCAACTGGGCCAGGTCCTGAACGCACAGGTATGTTTTCGAGTGCAACTACCTAGTATCCTGACACACACACACAGGCGCCTGAGAAGCATTTGCGTCAAGTGCCCGAGCATTGCATTGCAAATAGGACAGACAAGGAAAGGCCTCGGCCAAAGTGCCGCTCCCACACCCTAGGAGCCGACGCACCTTAATCTCGCGCACAATCCTGCGTTCGCGTGCGGTCCCAGGTCCCAGGTCGGGGGTCGGGGGAGCAGGGAGGGAATCAATCAACGCAAGGAGCCCGAGGTGCACCTCCTTTGCCAGCATGCAGTGAAGGCCACGCGATGTCGCAGGACAAAACGGCAATAACAAGCTGCTCAACGCTTACTTAACCGCCATGTCAAGAAACCGCCAAGGCACGTGCAGACAGCCCAAATGAAAGTGCTTTAGAAAGTAGCGCAACAGGGTAATCTGGCTGGAAATTTGCACTAAAATCTGCACACGGCAACGGCCTTTCCAATTAACCAACAGCCAAAAGATGCCGACGCAAACGGCTTTACCAGAAAGACAACACGATCATGGAACCAATGGCAAATGACCCCAGAAGAGGCAGAAACCCGGATCAAGACAACCCAGAGCACTCACATGTGGATGACGTTTCGGGGGACCTTAGATAGGAAGTATACCTGAGAGATAGGGAGGTCGAGGGAGGTCGAGGGAGGGAGGGAGGGAGGGAGGGAGGGAGGGAGGGAAAAGGGGTTCATCGAGGGGATGCCGCGGTGGGAATGACGCATTTCGGGCGTGTCCCTCCCACAGTGGGCCACAGGAGCCACCTCAGGCGCGAGCCATTCCTCAATAATCATCATACACACATAGCTCGGGAGGCGGTGCGTCAACGAAAAAAATAGCAGCCATCTTCACCTACGGGACACATGCGGCATCTCGCCGTGCCACAAATCCTCGGCGTGTGGACCAGTGGCTGGAAACAAAAGGGATTCGACTTTGAAACTGCATTGCGGGCATGACCGGACATATGCACGCAAAAGCCATGCAAGTACGGACGGCCCTGTTAGGCGCGCAGCGGGATACGCAGTACCGTGGCACTTGCACGACTCAATACTCCTGGAAGCTTCTGCGAATTATCTATCTATGTAGCGGCCTGGAGGGCCTACTGCGACACGGACAAACTGACCTTGAGGGCCACTGGCAGAGAGGAGTGCCGACAAGTGGCCTGCAACACAATTAAATAACAATACAATACGAAACAATTAGGGTGGGTCCAGACAGGGAGTTTCGTCGGCAGGAGGTTACAGCCGACAGTTTTCGGTTGATGCGCTTCAGTTGCATGCTATTAGATCTCAGCTGCACGCTGCTTCCTGATGACTAACTAGCGAGGGTCGACACGGCGGGCCAGTGCTCGATGATGATGGGCGAATCCCCATTCACTGCAAGATCCAAGATAGTGGTTCCGCCCGCCAGAACGGCCGTCAAACGTCCTAGTACGGCATTAAAACGCCGGAAACGGAGCCTGCGAAGTTAAAAGCTAGGTGTGGTGTGCGTGCGCTGGTGAACATGTATGTTGCGCACCTTGTAAACGGATGAGGTCGCGCCTTTATACAGCTTGCGACCTATCTGGTAATCCTGTGAGAGAGGGCCATTGCGATGTAAGCCGCGAAGTCATCATGGCATATGTTTTCCAACAACGGAATTAAAGAGACGAATGTTGGGGTTACAAACAACAGTAGGCAGCTAGAGCTCCGACCAACAAGGGAGCAGGCGGGCCAGAGCAAAGCCTTTACACGTACCACGCCTACCACCAACTTTCCCTCTCTCACCTCGATGCACCACCTCTGCCTGCGCATGGCACCTGGAACACCGGGACAGAGCGCCAGCAGCGTCGAGTGGGATGGCAGGGTGCCCGGCGGTGCGCCACCGGCTGACGGCGTCTCCAAAGTCGTCATATCCATAGAGTAACGGGGGGACAGGCTCTGCAGCTCTGAGGATCGGATCTCCCCGCTTACATCAGCGCTGGCCATCAATGACGGTACTAGTGCTCGTGGCTTGCGGCAGGAATTCAGAGAAGCTGGCGATGATAATGCGGCCGCTGGGATGTCTAGAGATAAGCAACGCCTTGCGTTGTCGTACGTAGCGCATGATGCCGTATTCATCGCTGCCGACGGCATGACGTTGCTTTCGCACTCTCGCGTCCGCATGACGAGTCGCGACATGTTTGGCGGCCTGGATCGTTCAGTTCGGCCGCCGGTGCCCCGTGGCTGGGTAGCGTCCTTGCTGGATGGATCCTCAAGCGGCACAGAGAGGCTGTGGCAGATCGCCGCCTATCCAGGACAGCCACGGGAAAGAAACGGCAGGCAGGTCGAGTGGCACTTAACGGGATGTCTGTCTCATGGACGGCTGTAGGGGCCGGCAGAAGACGAAAGCTGCTAGAAGTTGAGCTGCAGCAATGCGACACAGGGGCTGCGAAAGACGAAACTGTCGTCGCCGAACCCGAACGAGTTGGCGTTGAAGGCCGATGGTTACAGTTAATAATAAACCACATACCTCTGAAGTACTCAACGGACTTCTGACCCGAAGGAAAGATGGCGAGAATAGCCTACGATGGAGAGCTTTCGGCGACGCTCCCGATGAGGACGGCATGTTGTCTCCGTTTTGAAGCGAATCTGTTTCAGACTTCATTTGGCAAGTGTACTGGTTGCCTGTCGCTGCCAATGGTGGAGACCTGTCGTCTGTGTCCTTTGCTACCGCTGCACGCGGCGCGATAGCAGTAAGGGAATCCTCCGTTTTTTGACATCCATTGCGCGATGTTTTGAATAGCAATCTAATTGAACCCAAAAATGCCCCTCCACTAGGCATGTTGAGTCCGATAGGTCACGAAACGAGGTGAAGCATATACACGCCACAAGGCGCTTCCACAAAATTTTATTGCCGCAGCACCTGTTCAGAACAGACCGTGAGCCTCAGGGCTGTTGTCTACGCGAATGGCAAGATATTTCGGTCAGGTCAGGTACGAGACAAAGGGAACAACGGTTTCACTGCCGTACTTCGAAATGTGGCTATGTTCCCGGTGTGCAACTTCTACACACGAGAAAGGGTGAGATGGCTTATGGGAAAGATTGCAATCTATGTACGGGACAAATGGCAGTTAGTAAGGGAACGTATCCTAACCAAAGTGGATAGCTACGCCAATAGAACTAACACGCATAGCAAGGCCTCGCAAGTCAATGTCAGTGAAGCATGTAACGTTTCTAGCAACTTGTCGCCTTTCCTTTTGTGTAGTCGGTCTACGGCAGATTCGGCTCGCAACAAATCTTTCGTCCAAAAATAGTAATCTCAACCTGCATTCCAAATATGTTGTGATTGGTAAGGCACGTTCATCTATATTTTTTTAATAAGCTGCACGCAGCTTTAGTCAGCCGAACTCTGTTATACGCTTATGCCATGATGCCCGTGAAGAAAAAAAGCGAGGGGACGCAAGCTTCCGGCTTGCTTCGGACGTGCAGTGCGGTGCTAAACACCATTCTTCACTCTTGCAAAAGGTCGCCGCTGGCATCAGTATTCCCAATGGGACGGGTACTAACCAACACGATTAGGCCGAACCCCCCGAGCCGCAAGAACGTTTACTCATGACATTCGTTTCATTTCTGTCCATAGCTTGCCACTCTTTTGTCACTGGTAGAGCTGCACGTACCGTCACACTTGCTTGGGCAGGGTGCACATGCGGCGTCGTTCATATATGTGTCAAAAAGGAGGAGTTCCGGAAACAATGTCTGGTGGTTATCGTGCAGAGGACAGGACCAGACAAACCCAGTGTTGCTCCCTTTGCTCCTGTTGGCCAACGGGCCATGCAGGGATGCCTGCCAGGGGTCTACAGATATAACACCATATGTTTACCGTGGCCCATATGTCCGCTCAGCCATCGTCACATGGAGCCGTTTGCCTGCATAACGGTCATCGCCGGCCACACGATTAGTGCTACAATGCCGCAAATTATCACCACCTGCTACTTAATAATCACCATAAGTTTTGACACAGTGATAGCTCCCATGGCACATGGTCGCCGCCCTTGCCAAGCCACAACCTGCTGCACCGACGCCTGCGACCTGATCCTGCATTCAGAACATGTTTGATTTCCGAGCAACAGCTTTGTTCCGCTGAGGCCAATGTCATGGTCCAAGCCGCCGAGGATCCTCCACCAAAACGTAGACGGTCGTGCCGGCACCATCGATACTGCAACGAACCTGTCGGAACGGCAGCTCGGGTGTAGGTCTGTGTGCGGGTAACTTGCCACCTAAAAGGGCCCACTATTTACTCCTCCCCGAAGCGTCAGTCACACTACAAGTTCATATGTAGGATCAGAACGATACATACACATAATTTAACATATTTACCTCCTGTAGGCGGCCGAGGTGTCGCAACAACGTAAGCATCGACTTGCCCGTCTTATCCAGCTTAATCGCCGTGCCTTCGCGCAGGTCCGACTCCAGGAACCAGTAGTGACCCTTGATGCCATCCTTCATCTGTCATTATAGCCAATGCCAGCATGCCCTTGCGTAAGACACGCAGAAACGAATCAGGAGAAACTAAAAACGCGGTTTAGAACCGTACGCACCGCGACGCTGTGCAACAGCTCAGTCGCTCGTTTGCGATCCGCCGGCGCCAGCTTAGTCCCCCCTCCCTTAACCGCCGCGATTAACTTGGAGTTGTTCAGTGCGTGGCCGGCAAGCTCATCCAGTGCAGCGTTTACCTAAAGGCATAGACACAAGAAAGGCTGATGGAATATTTGAATTCCGTTAACCACAATGCAATGTCCTTGCGAGCAGTTGACAACCTGAAAGACAATCATGAAATCCACTCAGGACAGCGAGATCGCTGGTCTATACATGCAACTCTGCCCGCGTCCCCTCCGCCCTGCCCCCAACACAGCGCACCTTATCGGTCTGGAGGCGGCCACGGAGGTATGACGACGCGGCCTCGAACTCCCGCTCCGTGACGTACCAGCGTGGCGCTTCTTTCCGCCGCCGGCCGGCATCTTCACCACCATTTACAGTGACACCCGTACCAGCGGCAGTTCCGCCCGCGGCCAGTTTGGAGCCTACAAAGCGGCGAATACATGAAAGGCATAGGTCTCAACAGCATTATGCAAAAATCCAGGGCCCTATCCTGGATAGGAAGGGATAGCATGGCACTCGGCTGTGCCTATGTTATATCCCCTCATTGTTGTATCCATTTTACGGACCCAGACGAGAAACAGTCACCTGTCTGCAAAGCATCCAGCTGCCCAGCTCCAACCGCCCCGGGGCGAGACGGTGCAAGTGAGACACCTTGCACGCTGCAGGCCACCTGCCGTGGAAGGCGCGCAGGCAGGTTTTTGGCGACGATGTTCGTACGCTCGCTCTGGATCCGGCTGGCTTCAATCAGGGCCTCCACCTGTGCGTACAAGTAGATTTCCACGCCGGAAGGTGAACAATATTTGGAGGGACACCGTAAACCCTCCCGTGACGTTGCAATGGTTACACCTTCGGCATGACAGACAACTCGCTCTGAACAAAGGCCTTCAATGCCGCGACCTGCTCCTCCAAGGCCTGCACATTTGCCTGCGGAAACATCAGAATATCAGTATTTACGCATCAACCTCTTCCCGTCTACACAGCAAAGCTCACCTCGAGGCCTAACAGATCCTGGTGATAATACTCCTTGGTTTGATCTATGAGAACAAGGCGCAGGTGCCGATCATCGCATGACCCGGCAAGCCACTGCGCTCACAACTCTGAGCACACTTGCCATCCAAACGGAGAGAGCTGAGACGTTGAAGCTCTGCAATGCGCTCGGATAATGCTGCACCCAAATCAGCCAAACTGTCCATCGTGTGTGCCAGCACTCACACCTGGACCTCTTGCCAGCCTGAAACGTTATGTTTAATGGAAATATTGCAATGAAGAGCTGCTATCTATCCAGCACTTCAGTCTATTCACCGGACAGCTGTCAATTCAAATTCATCGAAGTGGTGGGAAAGGGCAAAGTACATGCATATAACTAATTAAATACTGGAGTTATGAGTTATGCCTTCCGTCGAATTTACCGTGAGTCAGTTGCCGCCAGGTGAATTTGGTACGACCGTGACCTTGTGAACATGAGGTTTTGTGCATTGCCAGTTAAGTGTCACCTTTGTCCCCACCCGATCTCTGCATATCAGAACCTGAGGGGAATGCTTCTAACATACATGCTGTGCCTAAACACAGTATCTGAAACAGTGTGCCACCCGGGATGCGGCGTGTCTACGCAAAGATGCATTAAGAGGTTAAGGGGTTCGTTGGCTTGATAGCCACATATGAAGTGGATTGGTGTGGCAGATGCCCCTTGCGTGAGGCATCGACGTGACTCTGCCCCTACCCTAAAACTTTGACACGCAGACCACGACTTGTTCCCATGCGACCGCTCCCCAGTCTCCGATTTAGGCTCAGTAAGGCGTGGCAGTCGAAGGCCTAATTTATATGCTCCAAAATGGCCAAAGGCTACGGGTAACAGATGTAATGTTTGGTCGTGATGGCGGAGAGATAGAGAGATCTATACACCCTTACGACTATGCCTAAAGGCGTAGTTCACAGGGCCTCATTCCAGAAGCCAGACCTCGTTCTTATAGCGGTTGTTGAAGAGCCAGCGTGTATGAAAGCCTCCGAGACTCACATAACACGTACCGACTATGTTGGGACGGGACGTGGCGGGATAAAACCTGGCAAAGGCTTACAGAAGCATTTTGTAGCCTTCGTCACCACTACAGGCAATATAGGCCGGTGAGGCACGGATGCTACTTGGGGAGATGCTGCTACTTGGGGAGATGGTAAAACCCTTCCCAGTAGCTGCTTGCTCCTAAGTTGTGCATTCGAACGTAAACCTAGGACCATGTGAGGACGGCTTTGTTTATGGGTTTCGGTACTGTAAGCGCTATGTACACATCCACAAGGAGATCCTCGACGTGGACTTTCAACACAATGCACAGGGGTCCTGCCCATTGTACCCGTCCCAGGTTGCTGTAACAGGGCCAGATATTACATCCCCAACACCTGCATCCAACCCGTCACTGGTGCTGCCTCTCAAGCACCAAGGCGATTGTATAAGTCCGTGATCTGGTCCCGAAGGCTCTTCGGCAGCTGTGTGCCACGCGTGCCCACCCATCCTGTCTTGCACGCTGACACCAGGTTGCGCCACCTATAGCGTAGCGTCTTCTGCAACCGCATGCCAACGTGGGAAATCATTATACAAAAGAGCCGCGTCGGCATGAAAGGACGCACTGCACGGGCAGCATGCAGTCTAATGCAAAGGACTGCTGGCGACTTGCTTATGGGGGAGCGAAAGACCTCTCTGCAAAGCAGACTGTAGGCAACCGGTCCAGGACCTCCCTATGTACCTGGTCGCGCAGCTTGGTTTCCCGCTCAATGACGGCCCAGCGCTTGCCGTGCTCTTCCATAGCGTCCGCCAGAGCTTGGGTCTTTGGAGATCGCCAATATAGTGGACACAGGCCAGGGCCGTCGTTGAAGGAAATGAACAACACAGGGAACAGTGTGAGCAGCTGACACCATAGTCTGCAGCTCAAAAGGCAAGGCATCAGGCATGCCCGTTCTCCGGCGCAGGTTCACCAAGGATGCAATCTGTCGCTGGGTGCGAACCCTTCCAGGTGGAGCCCCTGCTCCTCATGACGCGCCGGCTCTCGGGTCCGGATATCGCACAAAATCCATTCATATAATAATAATAATAATAATAATAATAATAATAATAATAATAATAATAATAAGTATTATCAATGCTGCAATCTACAAATGTTCGTCACCACGTACACGAAACTTTCCACCCGTGACGATATCGTACCTCTACAACTGTCCAATGCTTTGAGGGCCCTGTTATAGTCCTGTGCGCAGATGGGCTGGCCGGTCTCTCATCATCTCTCTGCTCAGCAGCGTCCCCGCCTCCATAGGCACCTGTGCCGGCAGCAGTCCCAGGCTGCTGCCGTTGCGCACCCCTCGCCTGTCCAACAACAACTGTTGGCAGCGGCTGCCGCTGAGGCTGCTGCTGCCGCGGAGGCATCCCCTGCCACCGCTGCTCAGGGTCTATTTGCTGCTGCTGCTTCATCGCATCCATCTGTGGTTCCTGGATCACCTGCCCTTGCTGCTGCGGTTGTCGCTCCACCGTGGGCAGCTGTGATGGCCGCGGCTCCGGCTCATGTGGCGGCTGATTCTCCTGCTCTAGTCCAGGCGGGGACAGAGGCTGATGGTCCCCAGCACCCGGCTGCAGCTCCGTCAGCCCATTTGAGCGGCCCTGCTCCCGCTGCGATATCCGGCCCTGCTGACGTTCTGAAGGTTCCTGCCCCCGGCCCTGTAACCCTTGCGGCTGCTCCCGTCCTGGGTCTCCTTGCTGTGACTGAGCCGTTGGCCGCAGCTCCCTTTGCATCGTTTGTGGAAGGGGCAGCCGCGTCGCCTGAGGCGCCGGTGCTTGCTGCGGCTGCTGCCCTGTAAGGGCCGGTGCCGCCTGTGGTACGGACAGCTGCCGTTGCTGCTGCTGCTGTTGTTCTTCCTGAATACCCTGTGCTGGATGGTTCCGTTGGACTGGTGCCACGCGTCGAGGCCTTGCCGCAACGTTTGGTGGCTCCTGGATCTCGACATCACTGTCATCTAATGCGTCGGATACCTGAGGAACCGTGCGACGTTGTCGATGCGAAGGCGCCCCTACCGGTTGCCGTGGAACCTGGTTATCTTGACCGGAGGACAAATCTATGGCATCGTGGTTGTGCTCTGCGACGCTGACCCTCCGATGCTTGGTAGGCGCTCCCGAGTCGAGGATCACGACTTCATCGTCGCTTTCATGGCTGCCATCTATATCTTGCCGGCCACCTTGCGGGGACCAGAATGCCATGCTGTTAGCTTTATGCTGATTACATAGAAGCCTGTGGCCAAGCAGCTTACGTAAGCACCTGGCCATCGCCTGGCTTACCCTGAGCTATTGCAGGTGGAGCTGGAGGGGTTTCCGCCTGCGCATGCATATCCTTAACCGCCGCCCTCTCATCCTCTGACTGCATAGCAGCAGCAGGGCGTTTTGCCTTGGCCGCACCGAACGCAACGTTGATTGGGAATACGTACATGCAAAGATTGGAACCTCTTAGACGCTGTAAGATTTCAGTTCACCTTGTCGTCACAGTTTAGCCGTCCCCGCCCAACCCCGAACCATGGGCCGACGAAGGTCAGTACAGCTGTCAGTACAGCATAACTGCCACCACCTGACCTTACCGACACCAAGGTTGGCCCTGCGTGGCAAGCTAACCACCGTGTACAGCATTAAACAACAAGCATGAGCAGGCTTGGATATGGCAACAAGGCTGGTTTACAGAACTTGCCAGGCATCCTTGCATAGCTTTACCGAGCTTGGGGAGCCGTAACTCTTAGCGAGTAGAAACACAACCAAAGAAGGTGGTCTGACAGGTCCACTCAGCAAGCCCTTACCAGCAGTATATCAACTTCCAGAATGCTTCCGTTAACGATCCCATGATGTGCAAGAGTGCATGGTCGCGGTCGGTATGTCGAGGTGCAAGGCTTCTCAGCACCAATGTACTCCGCGAGCTCCTCTGGGCTGCCATTTCTCCGCAGGCGCAGCTGACCAAAGCTCAGATTATTACCGCACAGCTGTAACAACACAATCTTAAGGTCCTCAATTGAGGTATCCTGTGCCACATGGAACGTCCCTGCAAGACAGCAAGGAAAAATGGGGCCGGTAACCCAATGCTAGCTATTTGCTTAAATAAGTGCTTACACTCTTCACCGCTTTGCAGCCCCAGAGCTGCAAAGTTCAGTCCCTGGCCAAACTTGAGTCGTATGTGCATCATACTGTTTTCATGTTACAACGCGTTGACCGGTCTCATACAAGACATGATTCCGGATATATGTTCAGCAGAGTAAGTTGACTGCACAACCTTCCCCAAAAACAGCTTGCATGAAGGACGCGTCGTGCGTGACGTGCGTGGCATGACCTTACAGTACGAGAGGACCTTGCCTGTTGAATTTGACCATCTCAGCAATACATACACTTGTACGCGCGCATTTTGAATCGCACGCGCGCATCCGCGCGGTACAATTCGCTCCTGGCTTTGGGCGTCTTGTACGGAGGGTTTATTCGGCACAGTACGACCGGACACATTTGTGCGAAGGGGCTGCTTAACAAGTGGCACAAATTCACGATAATGGTGTGGATATATACCCATGCATTTAATGCATTTTTATAGGACCTCCGCATAGTCTGCCAAGCGTCGTAGAGCTAACTCTATGGGTACAGCCCCTGGGCAACTCGGTGTTGCGCAGAGATACTCTGGTGCCGCTGTTTTCACTGCACCTCAATGACCTGAAGTATATCAGGCGGACTGAATTGAACGCTTCGTCCACTTGCTTTCCGCAACCCCTTTCCTGTCCTTAAGCTAAGAAATGGCAGAGGGAGTGGACCCTTTTCCTCCCGTCCGTCTCTACATCTCCAAGAGCCAAATAGGACACCCAATTAGTCCCCATCTAAAACCTAGCCCGCCCAGCAGGAGTATAGCACATCAATTATAGGCATTGCGGCCCTGCCGGCTTGCCACAAATGCCCGTTGGCCACCTGCATAGAAATTTCATACCTCACGGCATGCGTGCTACATCTAATGCCGATGATGGACATATTCAGGTGCCACGAGACACGCACGCAGCTCGTTGGATCGCAGTCTGGGTCCTACTGTGAAACGCTACGGAAGCACGTGCAGGGCAAAGGAAAGAGACGAGGCGCAACCAGCGGCGTCTGTAAAGCTTCCCACACACAGCCCCATTCCATAATGCCCCTGAAGAGACGTCGTTCAAGGCACGTTTTTGCAATTTCTGCACCTGTACCTGCACCTAAGACCAAGGAGTTAAAACGTAGTAAGCATTGCGGCACCGAATGCACATTAATGCACGTGTTTCAGTGTATCATCAGTCTGCCGTGCGCACATGTTTTGTCGATGCTACAGTCATATGACGCGAGATCAGGTTCCTATCTACAATGCCAGTCCTAGCAAGGGAGACTAATACCGCCCCGGCGGCGGCACCGCTATGCAAATCTGCCCCAAAGCAGCTCAAATACAATGTTCGTCGTGTCGTAGTAGTTAACGTAGGCGCGCCCTCCAGTATACAGCCCCCCGGCGTCCTAGGACACATACGTCGTGCTGCCGTGCGGTGGAAGGCCAACAGTGAAGCCCTCCAACGGTAGCAGCTTGTAATGCGAGATCTGCACCGCACGCACATATACACACATGCGTACAAGTCGCACATCCTTCCAACGTGAAGCTGCGGCCGAGAGCAAGACAGAGGTTCGACGGGATGCCTCCAAATGAAACATCGATGGAACATGCTGACGAGCCTGCACCACGAGGCATACAGGCAATCGCGATCCCCTGCACGGTGTTTGCAGATTCCCCCACTATACAGACTCAGCAAGCATCCATCACTTACACAGTCGTAGACCCACTGGGTCTGGATTGGCGCGCAGCCCCACTCGCGAAGGACCCGCGACACGTCCACACTTGACTGCGGAGTGACCAGCACCAGCACCTGCGGGAACCCCGGCAGCGGCGGCGTCGACCCGCCGCCACCGTCCGTCTCACCGTCAAATGGTTGCTTCGTGCTTGGGCCGGCGTCGTACAGGTCTGCGGCAGCAGCGGCGCCGAAGAGCGCTGCCGCTGCAGTCACCCGTGTAGCGGCAGCAGTGGCAGCAGCTCCGCCTCCGCCGCCACGGTGAACCGGGCGGCGGACCAGAGTGCCACCAGCAGCTAGTAGCAACGCTTCCAGCTCAGGCTTGGTAATCCCCCCTGTAGGACGGATTTTAGAGGTCAATAAGGTTATGCGGCGACATGGCCATCCTCGTATTCGTTACCCCCGAAGGACCCCACAATGGCGCCGTCCGATGCCTTAAGCATGCCGCCAGCTGGGTTGCTGCGCCAGGCGCATACGCCCCTTTACCGCTGTTGTCTCTGTTCAAACTGGGGATTGGCTGGCTTAGCCCTAAGCAGCTGCTGGCCGCGATGCCCCCACAGCCGCAACAAAGCAGACGCAGGATTACTCAACGGTCAAAGCTGCCCTTAAGGAACGTGACGCAGAACTTGAGGCCGCTGAAGAGCGGCGGGTCGCCACGCTCCAGTCGCAGCCGTGTAGTGGTCGGCGTCCCGGCGTGCGTTGCATCACCCTACAAGGCGAGGTGAGGAGGTAAGCCCAAGAGGGACCCCCGCGGTGGATGATGACAACAGTAGGCAAGCAGGGTCCTAGGAGGACTGTTGCGATAAGCAGTATGAAAACAGGCAGCATGGCTCGCTTAAACAGTATGAAAAACAGGCAGGCGCAGGCTACTACATCAACTGTTGGAAAGAAATTGAGGAAAGCGTCAACGATTGGTCAGGGTCCCCTCATGGCTCGTGTGGGCCTGTTACACCTTTCGAGGGAAACGCAACACAAGGTGTAACATACACACGCACACCTCATGTGGCAAATCAACGGAACGGTTGAGAACCCAGCCGTGCAGTAATTTTTTCAAGTCACGCCTACCCTGGAGCCCACCAATTGCATTGCGGCAGGAAGCAAATCAGTGAACCCCCATCCACGGCACAATCCAGCTGCATGCCGCTCAACGCACACGAACCCTACCTCCCTCCCCCTTCCCTCCCTTTGATGCTTTTGTTTATTGGGTACCGACGACAGTTCACAGATGCACATTCGCATTCACCTCCCGAGCCTCCCCGTTTCGGCTCCTTTGGCTCCTTTGGGGATCGCTCGTCTTTCCTTATTCCCCTCACCGTTGCTTCAAAGGGTCCCTCGGGCAGCAGCCTTCCGGCAGCCAGGCATTCACACACCCAGTCCATGCCCACCACCCAGCAGCCCTGAATGACTGCTCGAAGGTACTTTATGGTGCGGCCCACAGCTCGGCGCTCCGCATTGAGCTGGACCACCAAATGCGTCAGATGTCTGGGGGTCAGGAACAAGGGAGGCAGGTGAACGCAGTCGGGAGGAAGTGCAAAAAACGGAGCCATCCCGTCAGCTACTTACGGCTGAACTTCGCTCAGCAGCTCGAGTCCTCGCACGTTCCTCGTCAGCTCCTTCACCTTCGCCCTCTCCTCTGGGCCAAGACCGCTTGGCAGCACGTATAGCAGCTTGGGGCGGCGTGCTGAGGGTCCCGGAGCTGAGAGCTCGTGCATCAGCGCTGGCTCTGGTGACGCCATGGCTGCTGCCGCGGAACCGCGCTCACGCGGCTTTGGCCGGCGTGCTAGCCTCTGACTGGCCGGTGCGTTCTTGACGTGCGGCTGCGGCTGTGGCTGCTGCGGTATCTGTGGGTTGAGAGACAGCGGCTCCAGGGGAAGATAAACAGGCTCCGAGCGGTGCCGCTTGTTAGACCCGCGGTCACGTCGCCGAAACACGTTCGTCTGGGCCGGACCCTGTGCACAGTGGACATATGGCACATGTTTACGATCCAATACATAGCTGTAATTTATGCGCTGTGAAAGCTGCCATCGGAGGCAGACTGGCCGGGTTGGGCTGTAAGCCATTCATGCAACAGCAAGAGGGCTTACAGTCTATGAAGGATGTTATATCACAGGCACGCGCAGGCGCAAGAAAACGACATGTACCCGGCAACACGCACGAAACCTCTCTGAAGCCGGGAGCATCATACATCATACGATGCAACACCATGCACCCTGTTCAGTTCGTTTTCGTATATTTGCCATACATTTCCAGGGAAGGGGACAATGCTGTTCAATGCTTAGCTACCTCAGCTAGCGCATTTGACAGGCTCACCTTGGGCTCGCTGGGCCCTGCCACAGGTGCGGCCCCGTCCACCCCACATTCGGGCAGCTGATGGGGGCAAGGCGTGGGTGACGGCGGTCGGAGCAACACCGCAGCAGGCGGCGCCTGCAACTGGACAGCGCTGGCGCCATTTGAATGCCCTACATTCAGGCGCAAGGAGCACGCGGCACCGGGATTCGTGGCTTTCTAGGCATTTCCATACGCTGCATGGCTACAAGCCACCTGATTCCGTGCCTTCTGGACCATGAGATGGATATGTGGGTGTGACGGAAGGGAGCTTCGTGGGTTAGCGTGATGTAGTGGCGCCTCGAAGGCGCTCCCGCGTCCTGCGAGCTGCTCCTTCATTTTCGCATCCTTGCTGCTGCATAAAGTTTACACCTGCGCTGCTGCCTCAAGCGATTCAGCCTCACGTAAAATTCACGGAACCAATACTGCTGCGCCAATCACCCTGTTGTGCACGCCATGTACCTGAACACGGGCATGAACATACCATATCCCGCCCTGCCCGGCACACATGCAGCACTCCCCACCTGGCCTAGCGATGCTTCCGTCCGGGCGCTCCGTCACTTCACCATCGCCGCAGCCGGGATACAACACAACTGCCTCCCCTTCATGCTTATGGCCAGAAGCCAGGCCAGCAGGGCAAATGCCTGCGGCAGATGACACCAGCGGGGACGCCAGGGGCGGTTGTCTTACCGCGGCTCCTTCCGTGCGGCCTTGCGATACAGTAGCCGGAAGCGCCTCACCGCATTCCGGTATGCGTGTCGGCGTCGGCGGCGTCGACGTTGGCGGCGCAGCCAACCTTGGGCTGACGGCCTCAGTACGGGCCCTCTTGCAGCACGCTCCACGCCTACTCGCCTCTACATCATCGGCGTCGGCGTCATTCGTGCAGGTCGGCGCCATGCCTCCGTGTGCACAGCGCAATGCCGGCCCCGTCTCGCACGCTGCCGGTAGCACTACCAATCCTGCACACGCGGCCGCTGCGCCTGTGCCATCGCACCCAATCGCATTAGTACAGCTTGTACGGCCGCTTCCTGTGCCACCGTCGCATGCGACTTGCTTCTGGACGCTGCTCTTATTGCGGCCTCTGTGCGTAAAACTCCTTTCGTCGGCGCCATCACCACGAGGCCCTGTGGCCGCGGCTATGCCCTCTGACGTCGGTATCTTGCATGCTGCAGCGGCTCTGTCTTCCTTGTCAACTCCCCTGGAACAAGAAGTTTGAATTGCGCCGCTGGTCAACGCCGGATACCCTGCATCGCCATCCATGCGCTGTTGGGATGGAAGCTCCCGATGCGGCTTCGGCGGGTGCTGACGTGCGACAGGGGCTGCAAGCCGGTCTGCCTTGAAACCGTCGAATGCAGCCGGTGCCTCGTTTTCTGCGGCTTTATCGCCTGTGTGCCGAGGCGGGCAAATGCCACTGTCGCCAACTTGTTGGACTGGGCAAGTCGCGTCCCCTTGGCAAAGATCAGCGCCCGGCAGTGTGCCATGACGCGCTTCACAGCCCTGCTCGCTTGGCAGACCCACTCCGGCCGAGAGGCTCGGCAAGCAGGCATCTCCTCTTGGCACTTCTCCGCTTGTTGCTCTGGCAGAGCGGCCGTCTGCTGCCACCACGTCGCCGCAGCAGCCAGGATGCAGCTGCTTCGCCATCATCTCCCCCAGCTCCCCAAGAAATGTACTGACGATACTAAGCTCAAACTCCAGCGCCTCGCGCTCCTGATCAGTGGGTCCAGCTAGCTCACCAAGACGGCGAAGCCACCACTCAGCTTCGTCAAATTCCCCAATCTCGTCGTCGCCCCAGCGAGGGCCGGCACGCGCCCGACCGGCATGGGCAACCTCCAAGAGCTGGCCTGCGGGCTGCGACCTGCTGATCCAGCCCAAAGGGTGCTCCAGCAGCGCATGGAAGCCCAGATAGGCGTTATTAACACTGGGGGTGCCACGTCGGATGCTCACAACGGAGCTGCGGAGAGGAGGGGCGCCGCCCGTACCTGTACCCGAGGCCGTGACGGCTGTGGGGCCCCCATTCAACAGCGTCGTAGACGCCCAGGCCGCTGGAGCTTGTGATCGCGGTTGCGGTACCAGCTGCTCAAGCGGCGTCGCCACGGCGACCGAAGAGGCAATGACTCCTAAGGAACGGTTCGGGCGGCACTCCTGCCCAACAGGCCCCTGCTTTTCGCCGTGCGCAAGCGGCGTCGTGGCTACAACTGACGGCAGCAGCGGCGGCACCTGGAGCGCACCTTCCGCGCTATGCCGGCTTGGCACCCACTCCCACCACCCGCCACCCGCTCCCACCAGGGGGCCATGGCTCGTGTGCGGGAGTTCATGCATAGCGGCGGCTGGCAGCACATGATGGCCTGTCGCCAAGCTTACTGGTCGCAGCACTGGCGGTGTATCAGGCAGACCGCCGGTGGCCCCGTGAACCTCCGCCGTGTTGGGTGTGACAAACTCCCCATACGCCAGGTCGTGTCCAGGGCCAGCAGGCCCCAGCCTGTCGTATCGGGAAGCATCCTGCGCCGCCAACGGCCGCGCCCCTGGATCGACCCAGGGCGACCCCGGCGCGGGCCCAGGAGGGGCTGCCTCAGCGCACGTGGGCAGTGCATCAGCCCGCTGCAGCATGGGAACCGTGCCGGCACTCTGGCCTTCACTGCCTTGATCAACAGGATTGCAAGGATGCGGAGTAGCCTTAGTAGCAGATCCCGCATGCAGTGGCTGCAGTGCTGCTTCACCAGCCATGGCCGGCAACAGTGCCACAGCCCTGTGCCGGTCCGCCGCCGCCGCCTGCGTGCTGTGCAGTCCCGGTGAAGTTGCGCCGGCTCCGCCTTGTTCAAGCCCATGATCCTGTGTCTTCACGGCATCGGTTGCCGAGCCAGCCGCATTAGTGCAGGCCCGTGCTTGGGCTAAAAGGCTGAGGCCAATAGCGCTGTTGCAGCCTCTGAACGGGCTTTCACAGCCTGCATCACTTTCGGGGGCCGCTCCACTGCTGCGGTTGCCGGCAGCTCCCGCCGCCGCGTGCAGCGCTGGTTGTGGCGGGATCGGCAACAGCAAATGCGGGATTTAGCACTTACGGCGAAATTGAACACATTGCATTCATACTGTTTCCTAAAACAGGAAAGCTCGACAGGGATTGGGACCAGCAAGGAACCAAGTGCATACATCCGCCTACCCCACCTCCTATGCCCAGAATCTTCTGCGTATGCTCCACAACAGCCATCATCTGAGGGTTGGGCTTCAAATCCCGCTTCCAGTACTTGGCCTTGCATTTTGGGCACTCGGACTGGCTGATGCCGGGGCCCTCGAGCGTTGCGATGGCACATTCACTGAGGCCAACAAGCAACAGAGGTGCGCAGAGCTTGCAAAGAGGTATACAGCATCTGGGTCATACACACATTTCAGCACAGGAGGGAAACGTATGTCCCTGAGCCCGCTCATCTGGGCAATCAGTACGATAAGGTGCCCGTGGAGCATCGCCACCGGCGCTCCGGCAGACAACTATATCGCATCTCCACATAATGCGTGTGCCGGCGGTATGACTTGTATCCCCCGAAAAACTTACTAGCAAAACGTGTGTCCGCAAGGGAAGGTGGAGGCCTTCCGCCACGGTAGGCCACTGCGGGTAAGGTGAGTCAAGGACCAAGGGGTGAAGCAGGGTATGCGCCCATACATTATGGCAAACAGCAAGTAGCTTACCACAGAGGGCATTTACACGCGTCAACGAAGGCACTGCAAGCTGCCTGCAAAGCGCGAATGTCTGGCGCCAACGTAAACATGTCAAACCCCGTGGCTTGGCTCAGCTAACAGCACCTCCTGCACAAACTTGCTTCTGCCAAAGCTTGCCGGGTGCAAGCAGGATCCGGATTAGCGGCTATCATCTGATAATCAGTAAATAATTGGCGGACTGCCGCTCCTTCCAGTTAGATAATTAGGTAATATTGTATTTGAAACATCGTTTGCGCCTGGTCTTCTGATTTTGGACGACTGAAAATCGACCTGTCAATCCGCTTCGAAACCACTCGCGGGTTTTTTCAATGTTTGTGCATTTACACGGCAAGCGGTACGCGGATCATAAGCGTGTCCATATATACTGTTTCGCGGAAGCAGGGATTTTGTACTTCCTATCAAAGTTCAAGACTTCCGACACAACAAAATGCGATCGCTGCTGCGGTTCACCCCTGCGCCACAGCGGACTGTTTGTGTGCACGCTGCCCGTCAAGCCAAGGATGCTGCCAGCGTCCTAAAGAAGGCAACCGTGAAGCAGGCAGTCTTGGATGCGAAACCCGAAGTAAAGCGGCCTCCGTCCGCTTTTAACCTATTCGTTAAGGACATGTTTCCCGCAATTAAGAAGGAGAATCAAGGACTTGCCTTTGCGGATGTATCCAAGAAGGTTAAGGAGATGTGGCTGTCGTCGCCTGCGGATGTCCGGGCCCCTTACGAGCACGAGGCGGCTAAGCTAAAGTCGATTGCGGCTGCTAGACGGGTACGTTAATTTGAGCTATCGCATCACTAATGCAATCTTCTAGCTGTTCGGCATGATGTCGTCGCAAGGCGGCTGCTCCTGCAGACGTGGCTTTCCTCAACCCATGCGAACAACTTCTATAGAGCTTTGTTTATTCAATCGGCGCATTCCCCATGCGTTGTCGCCACTTGACGTTTTGTTTTTCAAATTGGCCGCTTGTCGGTTGGCGTTTCCGTCGCAGGCTGAGGTGAAGGCTGCGGAAAAGGCAAAGGCACGCCCGCCTGGAGCTTACATTTTGTTCGTTAAGAAGAACCGGCCTGCTGTGGTGGCGGCGAACCCAAACAAGTCCGTGACGGAGGTTGGGAAGCTTATGGGCGCGCTCTGGAAGCAACTATCTCCCGAGGAGCAGCAAAAGTACAAGGACGAGGCTAAAACCCTTTTGTCGGCCTGGAAGGACTCGCGGGCTGTTCCCGCGTAATCACAGGCGATAGAGCTCTTATGGCAGCTGGCAGCTTGGTAATATGTCCCTTTCGGCAGAGGGATGGCATTTGCTAATTTGTTTGCGTTTTTGAGTTACATGGTATGTCGTTGTGAGTACACACACGTGTGCATGCACTTTTGCTGTCGTGGGACTGGTGAGAAGTGGGTTATGTCGTTGGTGTGTTTTTGATATGCACAGAAACCGAACACCGGTACATCAAGGAATGTGCATGAATAATCTACAGCATGCAGTCTGTAGATGTTGGCGGGATGTCGGTATTAACGCAACTGGACATTTAGTCCCAACTGCTTGGACGTACAGGCTGCCTGTTATGCTTTCTCGTAAATATGTTGCAAGGAGGCCATGGTGCAAAGGATTGTGCCGCGGCAGCTAATGTACGAAAACATTTCTGATCGAAATCATTTCCCTAGTCAGAAATGCTTTCGGTTACGTTGATGGTGGGCTGTCCCCTTTCGTGCTCCAGAGATTTTAAACTGTAACAGTGCTACCCAACAGCAGTCCTGAGTTCCATCGCTGCAACCTGGGTCATTAATGGTACATTTCGTGTTCTTTTGCTTGCTCTCAATGAGGTGACATCAAGTGTGTCTTGTCGACGGTTGGTCAACAAACGAAAATGGTTTTCTATCATCCAGTTCCACCACCCAGGCCCGCCATGGTGTCATGCATGTTGTGTTATTTATGTCATTAATGGTTGTGAAAAAGACGAGTCGCAGCGGAGAGCCTGCTACGGGTAATACACCCTATGACCCGATAACGCGTGCCTGTTGCAGTAACGCTAATCGACGGTTATGGATGAAAACTTCCTGTTGTACTGAATTTGGGTTACATACAGCTTAAAATCTCGGCGAAGAATACAAGCTCACACAGCGGAGCGACATGGCCAAGTAGATAGAAGATATCGCTCTGTCGACGTACGCAGCCGACGGTTAAGTGAGCAAGTTGGCGTAGTCAAATGAGCAAGTTGGCGCCCACTTAATAGTGATGTGAAGTATTAAACACCATGATGCCCACTGTACACTGCTAGCAAAGATATGTTGGAGGTCCATTCTGGAAACATAGGCAACGTCCCTGGCAAAGCGCCAACCGGAGTGCCAACCATGTTTCAAACCTCAAGAGTATGATAACCATGGCATGAACTGCCAATGGAGGATCCACATCAAGCCTGAATCCATGCTGTTTCGCAACTCGTGCCTTGCTGGCGGCTTTGACATTAAACGGATAGCGGAAACAAGCGCCTTGATGCGTCCATAAGCAGTTGAGATGTAACTAAGCTGAATACAACTTCTTTGAGACATCTTTGGCTCTACGTTGGCTTTTTTAAAACGTGGATCCCGTACATTGTTCGTTTCTCCATGCAGTCTTGCCCATGCTGCATTGCATGACGACAAAGCTGTTGAATGCGATTTTTAGTGTTTGACCCATACAGTGGCAAAGAGGCTCTTTGTGACATTATTATTAGGCAGCTGATTGCCTATCATGCACAGATGGTGATAAATGCATATTTGTAACAGTACATACTTCAAAGGAGTAGTCAAGTCTGCTTAATGCATCTGAGCCGAGGCAAGTATGACAGTGTAGCCAATAACATCTCGCGGCAATGCCGTCGCAGGCTCTTCCTGTGCGACATAGCGAAGGAGACGGTAAGAACATTGCTGCTACACTGTATTTGGGTGGCTGCGCTGGCTTGGGCCGGAGCGTAGTTGTGTCATTCACAGCGTTGACGGAGCCGTGCGGACCTCCTTCGGACAGCAGGCACTCGGAGCAAGTCAGGTCACGTGTCAGGGCGTGTTGTCCATGGCATATCAGCTCGAACGGGGCCTATAGAAGGTATGCTTTCTCCGTTCTCTCCGTGGAGCACAAAATGGGGTGCTGTGCGGAAGGGTCAAGCACAACCATACTGGCTGCTTACTGCCACACCGCAGACCCTGAGCGGCCCAGGCTACGGAGGACTGTGGAGCATTATTTGGGGTTTCCAGGGCCCGGCGCATCAGCGTCGGCTGGCAGCGGGCCCAGTCGTCGTGCCACAGCGTCGTCGGGTTGGGCACTCTCAAGCGAGGACTCTGACGAAGCATCTCCTCCTCAGCGGCGTCCACAGCCCATAAACGCGGAGCTCGTGAAGCTGGTGGCCAGCTTTGCACCGCTTGAGCTTGCCCAGCTGAAGGCCGCAGAGCAGAAAGCACGGATTCGAAAAGCGCATGCACCAGCAGCTGCAGCGGCTGTGGAGATTGTAGACGCGGCAGGGGACAGGGTAGGTGACAGAAACGCGCAGTCCCTGAATGCCGAAGCGGAGTACACGGGGAGCAGGCGTGGGGCTCTTCCACCGGAGGAGCCATTGGAGCCTGCCCATTTCAGGCCCGTCCGTCCGTCAACGGCAGACGCAACCAGGGGCCCAGGCCCGCCCATGGCAGCGCCTGCGGGCAGGATACGGTCCCAATCAGCAACACGCCATCTGCCAGCTGCCCCTGCAAAAGGGGCGGTAATAAAGCGCGACGTCAACGTAAGCAGTGCTGCTGTTCCCCCGATAGCACTAAAACTCCTTATTCAGGAAAGCACATGATTTGATTAGTTATGTTTAACCCTTATGGGCGATACAACTTGGTGTGCAGATCCTGCCAAACCCAGTGGCTCAGAAGCAAACGGAGGTGATACAGCGGCAGGCTGCGGTGTCGGCGTATGTAAAGCGGCTTCAACGGGAGCAGGATCGCCTCCGCGCGGAGAAGGAGCGGCGCCTCAAGGTGAGTAGGCAGCCAGGGGATGCTTTGGCAAGCTACGAAACGCGCAGGCACAGCCACGGAATAATAAGTAATTCTTCGGTGCCCTCGCTCCAGGCTGAGCAAGATGCGTTGGCTGCCCAGCTCGACGAGGAATCGAAAGAAATTAGGACAGCAGCTGCGGAGGTTACGCGTGTCCCTGAAGCACAACATGCTTCTGTCAGGCGTAAGAAGGCAGCGCCTGCTTTGAGCAGCGTGAACGCAGCGTTGAAGGACTTGCAGGTAAACAGACTCGGCGGGGCTCTCTTCCTCGCTTGCAGTTCCTTAAGAATGTGTTGGTGCGCACTCTTGCCGCAGGCTTCTGCGACTGGTCCAGATGTCCCTGAGAAGAAGCCGGCCGACCCGCGCCCTTGGCGGCACAACATGCGGAAACAGAAGAACACGTCTGTATCGGGTGAAGCGCCCATTGGTGCACCACGGGAGGTTGCGGCCAGGGCAGCCACGGGGCCGCCACCGCCACGAAACGTTAGCCCTGGCGCAGCCGCTGCACGGGCGAAGACCTTAGATCCGGTGGCCCGCGCACAGCTCAAGGTGGGCTTATGGCCAAGGGAGTCTTTGTGCGAAGGGCCTGCGAAGCCCATGGAGGTCAATTGCGGCAAGCTATGACTTTGCGGATGGCTCTACTATTGCCCTTTGCTGTTTGCGCCCTGGTAACTCCTTAGGAATTCATGGAGCGAAAAGCCAAGGAAACAGCTGCGAAGCAGCAGCAGGAGAGGGCCGCCCAGCTGGAGGCGAAGACAGCACAGCTTAGGGTGCTTAAGGCGGAGATGGCCAAGGCGCGAGATGTAAGTTGTTCTTTCGACCATCGGATTGAGCCTAAACTTTGTTGTTCACCTGTCAACGTTGCCGCGTCCGTATGGTTGAGCACGTGTCCGGACTCTGCTTGCTGTAAATGTGACTGTTCCTTTCTCCGTAACGCAAGCAAAAGTAGCCATGCTTAGCTGGCCCTGTTCCTTTGTCCTATCAATGCGTTTGGTTGCTAACTCCTACAGCGGGCTCAGAAGTACGCTGAGACGGCTAAGGAGAATCCGCCAGACGTTAAGGGGCCTCGCCCTCCATGGGTTGACATCGTGCCGCCGGAGGGCGGCCCTGCAGCGGTAGCGCTGGCGCGTACTGCACCATCGCGGCGGCCCCTTGCGGGGGCACCAGATGTAGAGTTGGTCTCGGAGAGGGCGATGCCGTACCACATGAGCGATGCCATGCGCATGGTATGATAACAAACGGGTCTAGTGTCGCAAAAGAAAAGTTACTGCCCTATAATGGCTTCCCATTGGGCTCGTAGGGCCAAACCGGTTAAGAGCAAATGGAGGGGTGATTGGAGCTTACGGCCTGGAATAGCACTATCACTTCACGGTTGGTTGCGCAGGAGGCGACAGAACGCCGGCGGCAAGAGAGGCGAGCTGATTTGTCGTCTCCGGACCGCACGCGTAGTGGCCATCCTGTGCTGGTGGACAACTTCGGACATTCCATAGGCGACGATGACTTGGGCAGCGGGCCTCAGGTGGGGCAGTCAACTCTCTTTTGCACATTCGACTTCCCGCGACGGAAGGGATGAATAGTCGCTGTCACCAGGCAGCCCGCAGTGGCCTATATGCCAAGCCCTACTGTTCTTCTGGACCTAAACCCCCGGCGCTAGCCGCTTGCTCAAGTGTACTGGGCTGAACTTCTAAACTTTCAGGTGGTACGTGTCCAAGACCCAGAGTCGGAGCAACCGGCGCGGGTTTACCGATCCAGCTCCGCGCGTCCGGGCCGGCCGCTGATGAACACCGCGCAAGCACTCGCACAGATCGCTGCAAGGCAGCAGGTGGGACGAGCGCATGTCAGGCTTCCACTGCGTTGATGTTGCATTGTTGGGCATTGTTGGCGATGGTTTTGTGTTTGTGTTCATTACGCACAGGCAATATTTGCGTCTCCGTACAGCATGACTCCAGTTGCTTAGCCCTGTTTGTGCTCTGGTCGCTCTGCCGTAGGTGGGGTATCCCATCGCGCCGGAAACTCTGCGCGCGCTTGAAGTTGAGGCGCGTATTGCCGCGCGCAAGAAGTACGAGCAGCACCAGCGAGAGGTCCAAGCGGTGAGGAGGGTTTTGGGTCACAAGCGGTCAAGCTGAACTTCTCCGTCTCGGGAGGCGCGTGATGCGTAAAATGTCCTCGTAAAATGTCCTCGCACTTTATAACCTTTCGAGAGTAAAAAGCGTTCCACTACTTTCCATGCCACGGCCCACATCGCAAAATCTGTCATCTGAGACTATGGCTTGGCAAGCACCCGGCACGCTAGTCAAAAGCGCCCGAAACCCAAATGCGCGTATGCACCTTGCTTCAGGCGGAACGTCGTGATATATCCTGCGGCCGCGACACATCGCGAGGTCGGGGCAACTCCCGCGGGCGTCAGCGGAGTCCAATCGCAGGCCGCAAGCACGAGGCCGCCTCTCTCAATTCCCGTTCCCGCTCGCCGCCGAAGCGGGTGAAGCAGCAGATGCGCCGCGCACGCTCCGAACCCCGCACGGGGTCCGCAAACCGGCGAGTACCCGCTCCGCAACCCCCGCCTAATGCAGCTCCGCCCCGCGACCCCGAGCAGCGGATGCCAGACGATTATCCCACAGCTGTGCAGGCAGAGCTGCAGCAGGCTCGCAACGAACGGCACGTGGGTAACCTGTGGGACCTAGCTCTGCAGCTGAGTGTGAGGCTCGAAGCCCTGCAGCGGCAGGGGATGCTAGGCTTGCCTCAGCAGCCCATCCAGGCCTGGCCGGATCCCAGTGCGCAGCTGGAACAGCAGCAACAGCCAGGCGGTTCGCTCCGCGACTCCATGGCCGGCCCCTTGCTGCCGTACCCGCCGCCAGTTGCTGTCGTACCAACAGGACTGCCGATGGAGCTCGGCCCAGAGTTTCAGGTGCGAGGAACACAGGTTTGGCCCAGATCTGGAACCCCCTGAAGTAATAGGAACTAGTATGCATGCATAAGTGCAAAGGGCCGGGCGCTTACCTATTAATAGGAACCTTTTTCAGCTGGTGCCCGAGAGGAGCCCGAGCAAGGTTTTGCCCCCTGGCATCTAAGCATACTACAACCTGCCAGAAATCCTGTCACTCGCCTTTGCGGGACTTGGCTGGTACTCGGCAGGTGCAACAGTACGACGAAGCCGTAGAAGCGGACATCGAGTTCAATACTGAGGCATCGTGGCCCGTCGCCGCGCACAAGAAACCGCGTACCACAGGTGGCAGCAGCGCGGGCGTCGGCGCGGATGGCAGCGAAGGCGGTCGTACCGGCGGCGGCTGGGCGTCTACGTTCGGCGATAGCAGCGTGGGCGACCAGAGCCGTGGAGAGCAAGGCGGCAGTGTGTTTGCCTCGGATGAGGACACAACAGCCATGCATGAGGTGGACAGCACACTGACTAGCGGCCTGCACCCTGCCAGTGGTGCGACTGCCGTAGGAACGACGCGCAGCTTCCTGGCAAATATGTCCTCCATGCCAAGCCAGAGCAGCTTCAGCACGCACAGTCGTGACCAAGACGGCTCTTCGCTGCATGGCACGAGCGGCCCAGCCAGCCCAGCCCAGCTATCCAAGAACGCCATTGAGGTATGGAGATGCTTTGTGGCGGGGGGGCCAGGATTGGAGCTACCGGGCGGTAGATATGAGGCGCTGGCAGACTGTCTCCTTCTAGAATCGACCCGACTTCTCCTGCCCCCGCGCCGTTTCCTTCCGTGCAGAATCATCGGCGCGGCAAACGCTCCGTTTCCTCGGCCCCCATTCCTAGCTCGCCGAGTAAACAGGCTGTTCCAGCAGCACCCATCATCCAAATCCCGCTCCCAACAGCGACTTCTTACCTCGCAGCCGAGGGCGTGGAGCCCGCGGTGTCCGGGCTGCCTTACGATAACGCAACGTTCAGTGCGGAGAGTGCGGATGACGACGGCAGCAGCAGCAGCGGGGAATCGATGTACGGTCAACGTGTGTTGACCATTGCGGAGCTGCACGGTGTGCTGGATGAGAATCCTCGCCTGGCGCAGAGACTGTCGCTGGATCGAGAACGGGATAGATGGGAGGATGCCCTTTCGGGCTCGCCGTCTCGGACCAGTGGCATTATGCTACGGCGAAGCACGGGAAACGCGGACGGCCTGCGGTACTGGCAACAGGCTGCTCCGTCTAGCCCGTCGATTGGAAGAACTTCGGATGACAGGTGCGGTGTCTAGCCTGCTGCGTGCACTGGACTCGTAATGGATGCAGTGTGTGTGTGTGTGTGTTACATCCGCTGCTTGTACAAGGAATCAGCGGCCCCATGTTAACAAAACAAGAAGTTATTTTTTCCAGGCGAATGGATGCAATACGCACTGGGTACATGATACTGCACAGACGCCAGTAGCAGTGACGCATTGGTGCAGTTGTAAATTGTGCTATATACAACCGTTATAATGGGATTCCCTGCATCTGCCGGGACCTGGATGCAGTGACCGCGGGACGCCACCCCGGCCCTGCGACGCTATTGTGAACGAGTACGAGAAGGCGAATAGCTTGCTGAGGCCCCGGCCAGCTCAGCTTGCACTTCTCAAGGTGTGGAAAGGGCCTGGAGCGATGGGATAGGGTCTGCCCTGCAGAGCTATTGGCCTAATTCATTTGCGTATGTCTTTGGCTATACATTCATGGCTCGCGCGGAAGGTGTGAACCCAGTAATTTGTACGGGCTTACGGATGCTGTGCAAATGCAGGCGCAGGCTGCTAAGCGTGCCGAGGAGCGGCTCGAAGGATCTGACTCGAAAGAGGGCCAATCGGAGACGGACGAAGAGCCCGAAAACCCCAGCTCCTTGCCCTTTCCGAAAGCAGGTAGGATTCCTGCTAGACGCGACCTTATGCCTATTCCCGTTGTTCCCATGGTCGCGAGTTCATGAGCTCGTGCCCTTGGGTCCCTGCGCAGACGATCCATTGAGCGTTATCAAATTAATCGCACACAAGGGCCGCTTGCCGGTTCGGCCCACCATCATTCAGCTCACAGAAACGCCAGTGCCTGGGGCCCACGGCCACTCACCAATCAGAACGGAGCAGGAAACCCAAACTGCACCACGGTCAGGTGATGGTGAAGGACCTGCGCAGGAGCCATCGCCTCATCGGGGCCGCGAAGGGCTGCTCACGTCCGGGTCCAAAAGGCCCCAAGTAGTTCTGTCACGTGAGCTGACGCAGTCGCCGCCGCCACAGCTGCAGCAACAGCCCAGGATAATGCTGTCGTCGAGGAAGACCTGCGAAGAGACAAGTCCTGGTAAGCGAGCTCGCAAGCCTACCGAAGTGTTGCTGAGGGGAACGGCCCGGAAGCAAAATGAGCTCGGGGCTGGGGTGTGTTTGCGTGCATTTGGTTGGATTTTTGGAACATCGTGAGGCCTGAATTTGGTGTCTTGTGTATTTGCACAGGCCCAGGACGCATCGGTCATGGTGACCCAAACGGGTCATCCGCGCAGCAGCTCACAGACAGCCTACCTCCTTTCGTCATCGTCACAACTTCAGTAACGGCCGCGGCGACATCAGTGGCAGCCGTGCCGCCGCCGGTGGCGCAGCAGGGCCCGCACCTGCCAGCCGACAGCAGCACCATGCATCATCATACCAGTGGGTCAGCTGCACCGTCCTCCGCACACAGCCCGGCTGCTTCCATGCAGCAGCAAGTGGACGCCATGCGGAAGCTCCATCTGCAGCAGCTTGAGGAACGGGGGCTGTCTGAGTCGTCTGTGGCCGCCATTGCGCATCAGCAAAGCAGTGCGGGAGTTGTGCAAGCGAGGGCAGCGGCGGCGGCTGAAGGGCCGGATGACGGGGCCAGCGGCTTGCTCGGCGCGATGGGCAGCCCTCAGCCGCGGCCCCGCATGGTGACGTTCTTGGACGAGGCCCAGGGTCCCCCAGAGCGCGTGCGCCTGGCACCTGGAGAGCTGTTCAACCAGATGCAGACCACGCTGAAAACGTAGGTGTCGGCAATTTTATGAATTCCACAATCTAGGGGGTGATTGTGGCATTGGACTTTGGGGGACTTGGCGCCGACACTCATGTTGAAATGGTTGCCTGTTTCCCGTCTGAATTCACGATGGCATGTTAAGCTTCGTAAACGTAATGCAGTGCTTGATAATACTTCGTAGGCCCTGGCTCCTAGTTTGTCCTGCGCGTCTTGGTTTTGTGCATTTAGGTATGAGGAGCTCGACGCGGCAGAGCTGGAGCTGCAGCAGCTACAGAATGCACGTGCAATTGCTGCTGTCCAGCGCGAGGCACATCGCATTGCGCAGCGGCTTGACCAGACTGCCGCTGCGGAGGCCCAATTGCATCTGATTGCCCAGACACAAGCTGAAATGGTGGGTGGCACGCAAATGCGAGCCGACAGGATGAGCTATCATTGCCGGACTTGACATGTAGACACGACAACCGACTAACAGCGCTTTACCTTGGGGCGGCATGTGTTCTTGTGCCTGCAAGTGTGCGACTCGTTGGTCTTAAGCTGTGCGGTGTGGACTTATTCCTTTTGCCCCTGGCAGGACGCGAAACTCCATGCATTTGAGGAGAACATTCGCAATGAAGTCCGCAAGGACAGCCTCGGCCACCTCCATGACGTGACGGCGCTGTTCGTGGAGCAGCTCAGCCGCAACAAGGTCGTGCACACCCACAGCATGGTGCAGACGACGCCGCCACCACCATCGCCTCCCAGACCCAACTTTGGCGTCCAGGTACCACAACGCAAACACTGCTTCGGGGCGTGAGCGGGTGACGTAGTCGGGGTTACGAGCTTAGAGTAATGCCGCATATCACTGAATGCAGGACGTGCAGGAGTGAATCCTCAAAAAATCGAGAACTCCTCCTTGTTGACGGGCAAAACTTCCTCCCACCACATTCCATCCTTCTAGAGTACCAACCGATCACCCTCAACTCCTGCAACGTTAGCTTGCCAACTTCTTGTGCTGTAGGTCGGGGCACCCTTGGGGCAGCATCCTGTTTCCATCTTACGGAGCAGCAGTCCCCAGCCGCGGCCCTCACGATCCCCTTCACCTCCTCCACGGACGTCACTCCGGGGTGCCTCACCACCCCAGCAACCAGCCTCGCAACAGCCAGCTGCGCTACACGACAGGCCATCTAACCTGGGCGGCAGTCCCGGGCCTAGTGGCAAACCAAGTTCTTCCGTCTCTTTCCAGCGGCCTTCCTCAAACCTCAGCAACCCGACGACTGAATACTCCCCGGACTTCGAGGAGAGCGAGCTTCGACAGAGCAGCTATATCTCAGGTGCGCTGCCTGGCATGTCCGCGTTATGTCTCTTGATGCGTTTTCTAGTCGTGTGCAAATAGTGCAAAGAGGGGCCGCTGCGTGAACCCGGAAAAGTTACGTCTGGCAGCTGAGGTTTGAGGAACCCGTACTCCTACCCCAGGGAGGTCGGCGTCCAGGGTAACCTTTCGAGAGGCCAGCCAAGCGTCTGTGCCCGAGAGCATCTCGGAGGAGGAGGAGGAGGAGGACAATAAGAGGAGCGACAGCAGTAGCGAGATTGAAGAGGAAATGAGTTCTCGCCACGAGCCGTCACTGCGCACCGGCACGGCGACGTCAATGCGCGGAAGCGTTCTGGACCTCCGTGGTGACCGCCAGACCTCGCACGCCACCGAGCCCGAGACCAGCTTCGCATCCGTCGCTGAGAGCATTCTCTCCGAGCGCCCACCTTCCAGATCAGCGCTTCGTCAGCAGGTTAGTTCTATTAAGGCACAACAGGCTTGCATCATAGCAGCGCTGCTCCTACATCTCACGATCCGCCGCGAGCAGCCCATTTTTACTGAAACAAATTAAAAGAGTCACACAAGAAAGCTGTTTTTTAAATTATTTTTACATAATAAAAATGTACTTTAATTTTACGTTATAAAAGATTGCATAAAAAATTAATTACTCGGTTGATATATAAAAAATAGTATTTAGGTTCCCTCTGGGCCACCATGTGTAGGTCCTCCGTCGTCCTCTATGTATGCTGCACAAGGCCCCTTGCATCCCTACATCCGCGCATATAACATCGGCAAATGACAAAACCAGATGCGTCCGTGAAGCGCCTATCACACATCCAAATCTATTTTCCCCGCGCAGGCAAGCACGCTTTCCGTTCCCGAAAGCGTCGATGAAGAACCGTCCTCCCTGCACGGCCACCAGCCGGCTCGCTCGGCGCTGCGGCAGCAAAGCACTGTTTCCGTTCCTGAAAGCGTTGGCTACGAACGCTCCACGACGCCGCATGGTGACAGCGGTGGTGGCACAGAAAGCGTCCCTTACTCCTCCATCACCGGCGGGGAGACCACCCAGCCCTACAGCTCCATCCAGGAGAGCCTGCCTTCACATTCCCCGGGTCGCCTGCACCGGCCGTCGTCCACCGCTTCTGGCACTTCACGCCGCCCGCGCAGCGCGATTGAGGAGATCCCCAGCGAACCCGGTTACAGCACCACGTTTGAAAAAGACGAGGACGAACATATTTCCGAGGAGCTGAAAGCCGGATCCAGCCGGACGGGCATGCGCACAGACGACAGAGGTTACAGCACTGAGGAGGTGCAGAGTGAGCCATCCGGCCACCGCTCCAGCCAGCGACGTCGCATATCCGCCTCTGCCTCCGTGCAGTCCACTGAGGTGGAAGAGGTTATGCCGAGTGGCACCTCCCCAGGCTACAGCCAGGACGTTGAAGAGGACAGAGGCCTGGCTGCCTCGGGCAGCAGCCTCAGCATGCAGCGGGGTCCCGGTCGACCACAGGCGTTGGTTAGCTCCCCGGCGCCGACGGCAAGGGATGCCCAGCGCCCCGGCGACGTGGCCGGTGTGATGGCCACACCGCCGAGCGTTCGGACGTTGCCACGTCGTGACGACAGCTTGGTACCGGGAGCTTCACCACTCAGCCTGCGAGCTTCCCTTGACGGTGCGATTCTTGTTACTGCAGTGAAGCGTGCAGCTTAATGATTTGGCTAAGGGGAACGCATAGGCTTTTTGCTTGTGTAGGGAGTCGTGGTCCTCACAGCGCAGTATGCATGCGGTACAAGTGTGCGGTATACACATTGTCTTCCCTTACTTCTGACGCCCTGACCGGCTTGCTGCACCTGAGCCCCTGACCGACGCCAGCAACACCGCCTTTTCCAAGCTGATGAGACAACTGTGATATATACATGTTTTGCCCCGATAAAGGTCCCCTGCTGCTACCCACATTTGTGCATACGTCGTTATGGCCTTGTGTAGGAGGACTGGAGCTGGATGATGATGTGATGACATCGTATGCTGCGGACGCGGAGAGGCGCATGCGGCAGGAGGTAGCGCTGCTGCAGGACCGTCTGAAAGACATGAACAGGCGCGCGGACGCGAAGATGGATCAACTGGAAGCAGAGCTGTCCACGGAGAGGCAACCGCAGAAGCGCCAGGCGCTCATACGTGCGCAGCGACTATTGCAGGTACACGACTAAACGATATTGCTGATGGGCCAGCGTTAAACCCTTTTCATGCCACACATGTACCCTTGGCGTGTGCGTTTCGTTGCGCTGTGTAGCCGCGGCCATGTGTGCGGCTGTGTTCCAGGCAACCCGCTGGCGCCCAGTGGTTACGGCCCCTTGTCGCGGCTTCCATAACTCCGTAACTACGTTTTAACCTCTGTGTTTCCAACGCTGATAGGTTCAACACGACGCCGACGCTGCGGACATTCAACGGCAAATTAGCGCCATTAAGGCCGACTACTCACGTCAGCGGCTCATGTTGGAGCGTCTGTACCGCCTGGCCCAGCTCACGGGCTCGGGGACTGGTTTGGCGGGAAAACGCGGTGCCGCCACGCCAGCAGGTGATAGCCGCCATGCAGATCGCGGGAGAGGGTCGGCGAAAACGCTGCAGCCGCGTGCAGCGGACCGGGACCGTCATGCATCCAGTTCATACAGCGTTGAGGATGTGGCAGTGCAGCGGCAGCAGCCGTCTGCGTCGGGTAGCCTGGCGGAGGAGGTACGTGTGCACCGTGCACGCTCAACGACTAGCAGCATTGCAGAGGAGCCTTCGCAGCACGTGCGGCGGGCATCCAGCTCAAGCAGCGTAGCCGAAGATATCCCGGGAGGTGAGCCATGAGTTTCATGGATCAGCTTGTTGTTGGTTGCCTTTGGTTGCTTTATTTTTGGAATAAGCTGTAATGATACTCTGGCTCAGCGGTAAGGGTTTTGCTTACCTTGCGGCCTCCTCCTGTGGCAGGCTCCGGGGCAACAGAGGTTGCGGAGGAGTACAGTGCCCAGTTTGAGCCCTCAAGCCTAAAGCGGTCATCGAGGAGCCAACTGCATCGGTCATCCCGCCCTAGCCAACAGCCGAGTGAGCTGGGTGTTAGCGTGACCCATGTGGGAATTGTGCTAATTCATGACTTTGGGGCAGACCGTGCCTCGAAGATGCAGTAATCTTGGGGGCGTTTGCTTGTCAGCGGAATATGGAAGGGGATGCACAGATGGCTTCCGTGGCCTGCAAGCAGGCCTGCTTGCTTGCAGCTTGACATTCTTTATGGCCATGGAGGTGGCCACACAGATGCCGACTGCATATGAATGCGCATTTGATGTCGGCTTTTTTGTGCCAGCAGGCAGCATTGTCGACGACATCGAAGAGAACCTCTCTGGCCGTCGCCTGGGAACCTCCGGCAGCAAGTCGCAATCTGTGGTTACCGAGGACACCTTCCGGCGGTCTGGCAGTACATCCGGAAGCCCTCCTGCCAAGACACGGCAGCCAGTCGGTGGCTCTGCGGCAATTGAAAGCCCGTACAGTGAAGACTTCGCCGGTTATGGGGCCAACGCCAGCGCAAGGCCGCTGCAGTCACACAGTGCAGAACGTAAGTTCAAATAAGCGACCAGCCTTTAGGGCGGGCTGGTCGCTCTTGCATGCCTGGAAACCAAAGAGGTTGGTCTCATTTGCGGGATCTCGGCATTACTACCATGGTGGTTTGTAGTTAAGCGTGTATGGGAAGTGGTGGCTACTGCTGGCCCGTTGCAGGTGCCCCAACCATAGTGACTTGTTCGCCCATACTGTCCTCTGATGTGCATTTGCATGTTTCAATGTGTGCACAGGTCCCGGCGCAAGCATGGCGAGGAGTGACGACCTGGACAGCGAGCTGTCGGTGCTTTCTCTGAAGCTCGAGCGCGAGAGGGTCGAGCTGGCTCGCAAGCTGCGCGAGGAAAAGGAGCGGCGCAGGTACAGTACAGGTTACGCTTTAGCGAGAGCTTCCACTAAGACTGCATGTCACAGGGCCAGCATTGGGCCCACGGGTGAAGAGCCTTGGCCTGCCTCTTGGGCCGCTGCAGGCGCTTAGCAGCGCAACACTAAAGCTTGCCATGTCCGGAACTTCTTGCTCCTTGCGCCATGTGCCTTTCAGGGCCAAGGTTCTTGCTAAGCAGGCGGAAGTGGAGCGGTTGCGCTCCAAGCTGGCGGCCCTCAAAGGTCAACCTGCGCCTCGAGCAGCAGCACCGAAGCGTGAACCCTCGGCCTATACAGAGGAGGAGTCTGAGTCCGTTGTTGAGGATGAGGTTGGCGAGTCGTCACAGCCGGACGTCGTTGACTCGGGCAGCAAAGTGCCCTCAATCGCTTCCGAGGTGCCGTCGCGGGAGGATGCAGCGTCCACGGAGGAATCAGAAGTGGCCGACGAGGTAGAAGATGGATACGACGACGACTTCATCAAAGATGAAGAACAACCTACGCAGAGCAGTATGCCTAGCCGCAACGGTGGGAAGGGAAGCACGCCAGGGGCCATTTCTTTATCTTGGTACTGCGTGTGTGTTGTCTGCACTTTTCACGCGAATTTAACAGCCCTTGCATCTGTTATGTCAATTGTAGGTACAGCTGCAAGCGCATCCGCGGAGCACACGACATCGACAGTGCCATCCGTTGATCCAGAAGTAGCTGCTATGCAACGGGTGAGCTCCATGCGCACCTGTTCCAGAGGGGTTGTGCGCTGGTAGTGGATTGTGGCGGCGATGTGTCCAGGCATTCCTCGGATACGATCGGTCGCCACCACAAAGGCCGCATGCATTTACCTTGTTGCCCATGGATTCCGGCGTGACAGGAGGTCGCGGTCCTGGAGGAGGAGGTTCGGCGCGCGAAGAAGGCGCGCATAGAGGCGATGCAGCGCCACAAAGTCAAGCTAGAGGCCCAGGTATGTCTATGTAGGACTGACTACAAGAGGCAAGATGGAGTGATGGGGCATATCTACGAATTCACCTGTCCTCAGAACGCGTATGTACACGGCTATTTACAATCCTTTGGTAAACTTGGCATGCCTTGGTGTGTTGCTTGTGCCCTGCATCGTCCCTGTCCTGGACCTGCAGTTGAAATCACTCAGAGCTGAGGCACCTTCATCGCAAGCTTCAAAAGCCCCGCTCTCTACCACGTCGGAATCGCGTGGTAAGGCAGCAGAAGCGGCGCCACCTCCGCAGTCGCACAGCACGCCTGGCACTTCGTACTCCTATTCGGAAGACTTCGCCGGCAGCGGATCCATTACCGAGGCCATTGCACCATCGTTGCCGGGCGCGAAATCGTCATCTTCCGTCATCGACGAAATTTCACAATCCACGCTGCAACGAACGTCTGGTCAACCGGCATCCAGTTCGCGGTGGTCAAAGTCCGTCTCCGAGGAACGCATCAGCTCTGCGGCGCACACGACCCAAGGGCCTGCCAGCCGCGCGAGCTCCGGCATCGAGGACGAGGTCAAGGGCGCGGCGCTGCACATCTCTCGGTCGAGCGGTGCCTTGGGCGGCAGCAGCCAGCGCTCTGGGGTTGCTGGGCAGGCGAGCACCTATGACGACGTGTATGACGAAAGTTTCGAAACCGAGAGCGCGGTAGGTGGCAGCGTGCGTCCGCGGGTAGCCTGCGCCTAGGATTCGCCATCGGGGGCATTGTAGGCATGAGTCGTACAGGCTGGTGAATGTTGGACCTTAAGCTGGGCTCATCCAGAAAAGCTGTGGGCCGATAGCAAGCGTGGACGGATTGTGTATATGTGTGTGATTGTGAAAGGCTCTGAAAATGGGTATCGTCTGCCCAAATGGTTGCTGCATCGACTGTTGGCTGCTATGCCAACAATAGCAGCCACACGCTTTTATTCTATGGAACATTCATTTTTGGAACCTTTGCGGGTCCCTGGTTCAGCCTGGATGGCCTTCATAGTCCTTCTCATCATGCCCTTGTTGAGGCGCATGGTATGAGTGCTCCGTTTTCCTGCTCCCCGTCAATTCCTCCCCGTCAATGTTGCAGGTTGGGGGGTCGATTGTGCACGAGGCGAGCGAGATTCAGGACGAGGCTGGCCACAGCGAGGTTCCCAGTGGTAGCGACCCGACCGCCGGGAGTTTGGAACCCATTAGGGAGGAGGACGTCCGCAGCATCTCCGGCCAGTCAATCAGCTACGCGGCCGACTCGATCGCCGATCGAAGCGTGCAGGAATCTGTCGTTTTCCGGAGTACTGACACGGCTTTTGGCGGCTTCCCGGCCCCCGGCGATGATAGCATTGCAGAGTCAGGCCATGGGGCTGAAGACGACGCCCCAGCATCAGGCAGTCGTAGCGCTGAGGACGTTGTGGATGTCATCGGGCAGTTCTCGTATACAGCTGGCAGTTCCGGCTCGTCGCAGAGCGTCCAGGATGAACAGGTTAGTTTGGCGGGCCGGCCCTACCTAGCAAAACCTGGCACTCTGTGGCAGCCATGGCCACAACGAGCGCCGTGCACTGAGTTTGCATGTTCTGCAGTTATTACGGCTGCGGGTAGAAGTGGTGCATACATGTCCATGCAAGACCTATCTGTTGAAGTTGTGTGGGCACCTCGTCTCAGTTCGAACATCGGGAAGCATGGAGGTTGAACGTATTTCTGTTTGGCCGTTCGCAGTCGGGCTCTCAGCGCCGTGGCCAGGACATCCAGGACAGCCAGCCGACGCTGTCGGAGTTCCTCACGACCGCCGACATCGACACGCCCTCCGTCACGCCGAGCATACACAGCTCGGAGTTGGAGGCCGCCAAAACGACCAAGACTAGCTCGGTGCCCACCACGGCCCCAACGCAAAGCATCAGCCGCAGCGTTGCCAGCCGCGAGGCGACTTCAGCAGTAGAGGAGTTCCTCGCCAGCACGGACACCATCGGTGAGTCCGAGGCCCCGAGCGCCCTAAGCGCTGACCTAGAGGTCGCGCAAGAGGGCTCGTTGCAGCAGACAAGCGCCGGTGGCAGCAGCGTGCAGGATGTGGAGGAATCCGGGCCGCTGATCGTGACACGACACAGCTCTGGCTCGGGTCCCATAGAGGAGGAGGAAGAGGATCATGAGGGAACGAGTGCTGCACCCATGGGCAGCCGCAGCACAGATGTCCTGCATGGCTCTGTGCCCGAGTCGGCGGTCAAGGCCAGCGGCTCCCAGGCTGAGCTGGTGGATGAGCAGGACGAGCAGGAGGAGGAGGAGGAGGAGGAAAGCGATGATGAGATTTCGGAGCTGGAGGTAGATTACAGCGGGGAGGCAACCGGCGTTGAAGAGCCCGAGGAGGCCTTCTCTGAATCCGCGTTGCATAGCCAGGGCAGATCTGGCCTCAGGCAGCCTTCGTCATTGGGCGGGGCGACTGTGGAGGACGACGAGTACGAGCCTGATTTCGCGGAGCATGACATGACGGCCCAGGACAGCGTCCTGGACGCTGTAGACATGGTGAGTTCTGAGATCCAGAAATTAATTTTCGCCGGTTTGTGCTGCCGTATGTGCAGTGGCAGCTAAGTCCATAGAACGCCCGGTCGTTGCCGTTGCTGTTGCATCACATGTTTCGCAGCTTAAGGGTTGACACCTATTGTGCGCGTGGTATGTTGGTCGACCAGATTCTTTAATTTTCCCTCTTTCCTGGATTTAGGTCCCTACCGGGTCACGGGTAACTGAATCCACGGCCGTCGAGGATGATGTGGCGTTGCAGCATCAGCGCTCTGCAGCATCGGCGTCTGCTGAAGCCGTCGATTACGGCGGATTTGCACAGCCCTCTTCTGCAACAGTATCAGCGGACGTGGTGGATGATGGGCCGGTGCAGCGCTCGGGGCCAACAGTTTCCACCACTCCCTCTGCCTTACCAGAGGAGTACCAGGTAATGAATGCACCGGTAATGCACGAATGGAACGTAAAGCCGCATTGCAGCACACATTGGGTGCGGGCAAACTCCGACGTTTTGTGCGCAATGGCATTCACGTGGGTTATCGCACAAGACTGCGTGTAAGGCACACCTTTAGTACAACGAGTAGCGCATATGGTGGTCGCGTAGATCAGCCATGTGACAAAAACTAAAATGTCCGTGACGTCAACTGTGCGACAGTGGTCTTGCACATTATCTTCACGGCACTCATACGGCATCTTGTACGGCAGGCTGACGATTACGATGACGACTTCCAGCCGTCTGTCCTGGAAGTACCGGAGGAGTCTTCGCGGAATGTGGCTGGAACACTCCAGGTCGCTTCAGCTTCTACAAGTCGGGCTTTAATCCCATCACAGGTAAGGGACTGCCTGGGACTGGCTGCACCAGCAGTACTGCCCCATACGACCTGCACGTAGCATGGCATGCTACATACAGGTCGCATGCTTCCCTAAGGATTTTTCCTCGTGGCTCGTGTGATTTGGGCATTGTGGAACGCATCGCCGCATTTGGATAAGTCAGCTCCCCCACCCACTCGCGATCGATTGATGCATCCTGAAGGTGGAGGAACCCGAAGAGGAGGAGGAGGACGACTACGAATCCGACTTCCAGTCATCGGCTCTCGGAGTTCCGGTGGTGGTGGAGGAGTCGTCGCGCAGGGTACTCCAGCCGCCAGCGCCCTCGGCGTCGGCCAGCCGGCTTGTGTCAACGGGTGATGTTGTGCAGGTCAGTCACCTTTGCCACGGGGGGGGCCACATACTTCGTGCCGTCTGTGGACTTATAAAGAGCCTTGGCACAAGTCGAGCTTTCGTTCAGCATATCATTCCCTGTCCATGTGCTGTCCATGTGCAGGAGGAGGAGGATATTGACGAATACGAGCTGGATTTTGATGAGTCAGCCCTGGATGTGCGAGCCGAAGTGTCATCACGCACGGTGCATGAGCCGTCAGCTGCGTCGGTCTCCGAGGGCAGGCTTGCGTCTAAGAGCGAGATGGTACAGGTAAAGACCATTAACCGCGACAAAAAGCCGAGAGCATACCCGTTTTGTCGGCTACAGCACGCATGCCTTTTCCTAATTTGCAAAGTTTTATATGCAAAGCCTCTGCATTGATCTGATCCTTCACCGATGTAATGTGAGTTAAGAAAGCCATATCTGACCCGGTTGTCCTGCATTCGTCGCAGGATGCATCTGAGCTCCTAGCGCAGGCATCGCTTCCGGGGGTCACGTCGACGTCCTCCATCGGTTCGCGTCGGCTACCCGGCACCCGGTCTCACGCGTCGTCCAAGGCCGTGCCATCGGTGCTCCACCAGCAAGCATCGTCTGTGTCCGCAGCGACTTACGATGAGGATTTTGAGGAGGGCGAACCATCCGAGTTGCAGCTGCATGGTAGGCAAAGCCTCTGCAAACCCCACTTACGCTTCTACCTCTTCACTACCTCGCGTATTGCACAGCCCTCGGCTGACACGAGTTTTTTTGTGTATATGTGTGTCTTAAGTGCGTGGGGTTTCTGATGCTATTCTGCGGCATTATCCCCCAGCTATGCTGTGGCTTGCGGTACTGACTGCGTTGTCATTGTTATGCTGCTCAGGAACGACAGGCTTGGACCGCACTGCGCTCAGCGTCGTCCAGGAGTCGGTCGAGGACAAAGCCCAGCTTGGCGCCACAGGTAACCCCTCCAAGAGAATGAAGTTGCCGAGTGGAGTGAAAGGGATGACCACATGTGCAACTTCACTGGGGGGGGATTACACTCCAAACAGACACGGGGGCCAGCTCGGTTCTATTCATTCTTGCACCCGGCTGCCCGGCTGCCGCCAAAACTGTTTGCCTGCAGTCGTTGACGCTATTCGCTATTTATACCCCTTCCCACATCCCACAGCCTCGAACCTCTACTCCGATGACATCGGGCCTGCAAGCAACCTTAATCAGCCTGACGCTGTGTCATCTGTAGCCCGCAGCGCTGCGGAGTCCTCTGCGACGGAGGTTGCAGGGGAGGACCTGGAGTACGACTACGGGGCGTCAGAAGCAGATGAGGATGAGCAGCAGTTCAGCGGAGGAAGCACCGGGCTTGTCGGCCCAGTCTTGCCACCCGCCGCCACGACCTCTGTGGCGCTGGAAGTCAGCAAGCGCTACGGCCCTGCGTCCAAGCAGAGCTCCGGCAGCTACAGCGAGGACTTCCAAGACCAGGCTTATGACGATAGCATGCTCGCGTCCGCTTTGGAGGAGAGCGCGGGCGCCGATGTCGCCACCGTTGACCCAACGACCTCTTTCTCGCTCGCTCGTGATGCCGATAAGGACATGCAGCCTCTCATGGCGGAACCGAGGTCCGAGTCGAGCATCCAGAAGCTGGCCTCTCTGTCAGTCGAGCGACGCACCTTAGCACCACCAGCAGCGGCATCTTCCAAGGAGCCGGCGCCGTTGCAGCTGCCTGTTGCCGAGCCCAGCACCAGCCACAAGCTGCCACCCCCACCGGAGGCATCCACGTCAGTGCTTTCCGTTGTGGATGAGGGCCCTACTTCCGCGACCGTGTCCTCGGAGTCATCCACACAGGAGCTGCCACAGGGCCTGGGTGAGATGGGTGAGGCCAAAAAGCCCACGGCGCAGCCACAGATCGAGAACGACGGCGATGACGACTACACCCGCGACTTCTCCGAACCCCAGAGCAACGTTGAGGCGCTTAGCAGCATCACCACTGGCGACAAAGCGCATGAGGACCGTCTGGCCGTTACGAGCCATCCCATCGGCCAACTTCCCTCGCCGTCGGCACAGTCCGATGACGGAGCACGCAGTTTGCATGGGGACGATGCTGACGACGCTGAGGAGAACGAACCGGAGGCCCCCGAGGAGGAGGACTTGGACCTGTCCGATCTTGGCTTGGACACCCCAGTGGCGGGTGTGGTGTCAGGCGCACAGCCACTTGCTGGGGCCCTTACACCGCCGGCCTCTTCGGACACGCCGCCACGCGTGCAGGGTACGGAATCTGCGGAGGCATCGACCAGCATGGCGAGCGAGATGGAGGTTGAGGACAGTGGAATTCTCGCGGTACCGCGGGGTCGGGGTATCCGGCAAACACGACAGATCGAGTCGCGGACGTGGCGCAGCCAACAGAGCCCGTTGGATGAAGAGGACGGGCTGGACGGTGAGCAGCGCGACGTGGTAGTCCCTCGGTTTCTTGTCTTAGATCTCTTGCTCCTGGGGGTAACTTGCGGCATGGCGAGTAGTCCAAATCCTTGCAAGGCACTCGGCCTCTTTGCAGTCTGGCAGTACCTAGAGTGTAATCCTCGTTTGCATATTTGTATGCTGAGTGGGCGTGTACGCCGGTCCGTAACGGGTCATGTTAGCATGTGGTGATCCGTTTTCCTGGCGTGTTGTTTCTCGCCTACCCTCTATTCCCGCGCTTAGTGGATGTCGACTTGGTGGACCTGAGCGGGCCTGACGGCAGCGGTTTGCTCGACGCTCTGGGGGCAGATCTAATCACGGAAGGTGAGAATGACTTGGGCTTTGCCCGACGGGCAACCTAACCCTCCTGGCCTCATGATTATCAAGGCCTGACTTCATCCCTCGGAAGCGATAGCAATTCCGCGCATTTTGGATAGCTGTGTTACGCGCTCTGAACTAATTACCACGGCACCCGACCGAAGCGTCCATTCGTGTTGGCATGTTGGCATGGTGATCTGACTGCATCTAATGACATCATACTCCTGCGCATCCTCCCTTTCTCCGTGCGGCTGCAGCGTCGGAGGTCATCACGCCAAGCCATAGCTTCAGGATGCGGAGCGGCGACCTCGCGAGTGCTCCCTCTTCTGGATCCCCCTACGGGGTGCGCTCCGCCATGTCCATCCGGCTGGCGACACTGCGCGAGTCTCTGGACCACGAGGGCGAGGAATCGGAGGCTACCAGTGAGGTGGTGACCCCGACGGCGGCCAGCGTGTTGCGGGCGGCCGCTGAGAACGTCTTCGGCTCACGACTGGGCCAGCAGGCAGAGGCCAAGTCAGATGCAGCGCCCAGCGAGGAGGGGGATGAGGAGGGCGACGAGGAGGAGGTAGCCGTCGCGGGACTGATTCCTGCCCAAGCCAGCGGTAGCGAAGCGACCTTTCCACGGACGGCACGGGCAGGGCCATTCGAGCAGCGGGCCCAGGAGTCACCTGCGCCGGCACCCGAGAGGACGGAAGCCGCGTCTACCGCCGTGGCAACGGAGCCTTCACGGGAGCTAAGTAGTGCAACCGGGGTGTTTGCAGCTGCCGCTGCCGGGCAGGTCGGCCGTGAAGGTGCGTGCTGTCTGACTGTGAAGGTCCGCACAGGATGTGAATCCCATATGCTGTAAGAGTATTACTGATGAGGTCAAGAGAAAGGTTACATGGGGCAGTTTGCAGCATCGGGCCCTTACTGATCCCTTCGTGACGCGCAATGTTGTGCGGTCTTCCCTCCACTTGGCGCGCACCCTCAACTCGGCGTAGTGCTCCACCAACTCTGCATATGTATTGCTTTCCGCAGTCAGCGCTGCCGCGTCCACGACACAGTACAGCGATGATCTGGAGGCACCACCTAGCGAAGTTGGTAGCGGACGGCTGTCAGTCGAGGAGTACGACCCGTACACGAGCGCTGCTCTTGCGGCAGATGACTCGGACGAGCTGTTGCAGGTGGCGGCAGCTTTCGAGTCGCAAGGTGAGGTCTCAGGTGTCATGTGGCGTCTGGGTTAGCAACCACGCTCCGCAAAGTATACGATACGGTCAGCTGGGCAACACTTCTGTTTTGTTCTTCAATGCGTTTCGGGGTCGGGGTTTGACATCTGTGAAGCGGGTTACGATGTATTTGTTCAATGGCGATGTACCCATTCCTTATGTTGCATGCCGAGGCTGAAGCTCCTACCTTCCTGAATCCATGCATGCAGCCATTGACGCTGATGACACTGACGGCGTCGCGGCCGAGTACTCGGCCATCTCTGCGTCGGGCATGTCAGACGACTTGTCCAAATACAAGGTACGTGTCTTCGGGGGGGGGGGCGCCGCTGAAAGGACTGGTTGGAGTTTGCAGCAGCACCTTGCGGTCCCGCTAGCCCTTGCACTGGGAACTCTAGAAATGTTGCACTGCCTGCAGGTGGCGATGCAACCGGATTCGGACGACGAGGCAGGGGGAAGCAAAACTGTGGCTGCGGCGCCAGCGGCGGTGACTACTGCGGCTAACCCAGACCCGGCGCCGGCCCCGGCTCAGCAGGCTGAAGCCGAGGATGTCTCGTCTGAGGAGGCGCCGGAAGTAGAGGACGAGGTAAGCCCTGCCCGATTAGCATGAAGGTCTTGCTTCTGTGCTCTGTTGCCCCAAGCCCCTGATTCTACTATTGTCATCTGCGTGTGTTGTTGTTGAAGGAGCCTGAGGCAGCAGCCAGCGATCCCTTCTCAGTGGATGAAAGCAGCGACCGGCTTCCGACGCTGCGGGGCCCGCAGCTCCCGGTTTCGCTTCTCGCCACGACAGCGCAGGCGGCAGAGCAGGCTGCCGCGGCGCCACTGCGCGCGGCCGAGGCGAAGGGCGAGGCAGTGACGAAATCGACACCAGCGGGCCCTGTTCCCATGGCGGCAGCAGCAGCTGCCTCATCACCGACTGCAACTTCTCCGCGGTCTGAGCGAAGCAGCCAGGGTGCCTTGCCCGGCGAGACGAGTCTGGGCCCGCTGCCCCGCTCCGGGCTGGGCGATGATGACGATGACGACGGACAGGTAAAATGGCCTGGGATTTCCTAGGCCATGTTCAGAGCCATATGGCGCTGCCATCTGCGCTCCTCAACTTGCCCACCTCAACTCCAGCGGCATGTGCTGAGAGCCCCGCGTCAGCAACTGCCCAGACTTTGTCGTGTGCCAAAACCCTCTGTCAAAGGTTGGCGGGAGTCTCTCATCACAACCTGGGATCCGCCTTCGATAACTGCAGGGTCTGGAGTACCGCGCTATGTACAAGCCTCACGGCGAGCCGGCAGACACTAAACCAGCAGGCGGGCAGCCCCCTAGCGGAGAGGCTGCGCCTCCTCCTGCCAGCGAGGCAGGCGTTGGGACGAAAGGCGGCTACTTTGAGGAACTGCGCAAGTTCGCCGGCTCGGATGACGACGATGATGGCTTTAGCGGCGGCATGGGGGCCCGAGGAACCTCCGCTGCATCCCTCAAGCCGATGTTCCAGGTATGCAGGCTCTCATGAGTTGCCGGGTATGTTGTACTGTGATTGTATTCACTACTCCCGACTCGTGTCACCAAGCGCATTTAGGCGGCTGTGTACTGTATGCCCCGTGAATCTTTTGTGCCGGCCGGGCTGCTGCTGGCGTATGGTCAAACGACAGTGACCTTTCCCCCACGACTCCGCAATTAACCTAGCCGCCGTGCATGTGCCCTAATGATTTCGTTGCTGTTGTGCTCGCCAAGGGCAATGGCGTCTTAAACTGATGGGGATGAGGATGGGAAACCCTCTAATAACACTTTGCTCCCCTTTCATTCCTTGACACCCCCTTCTGTTCAGGCCCTTCTTGACCAGCCAGAGAGCGAAGCTGACTTGCCCAAGGTGCGTGCTTAGTATTACTAGAAACATCTTGTTCAAGAGGACACAAGATCCTGCTCGCGTTTCTGTACCTGCATATTTTGGCAGGAGTCCTCGGCTCTTGCATCTTGCGTCTTGGTGACTGTGCCATCTTTGACTCCAGGGTGAATTCGAGTCGGAGATTGAGGAGATGCTGCGAGACGCTGCATCGCGTTCCAGATCGCGGCTCGTGTCGCCTTTCCAATCGCGGGATTGGGCGCTTGATTCCGACGCGCAGGATCAGGACGTTGACACGCCAGGCAGCGCGCAGCTTGCTGCCGTGCTGCCGTCACAGCCGGCCGCCGCAGCTGCGGCCACCACTGAGTCCGTGCCTCCGGAGGTGCAGGATACAGCTGCGCCAACTGCAGCGGCTGGCCCCAGTCGCGAACATGTTGTTGAGGAGATAACAGAGTCAACTGTCAAGGTGAGTGTTGCTGCCGCTTCAGCTCGCCGTACCGACGTAGATATAGAACAGAACACCGAAGGGACAGTGACGTAGCTACAAGATTGTGGTTAAGCCGTGCATCTAGCAAAACATGCTCAAAAGTAAGCGCGCAACGCTATCCAAACACGCGGCTTCCGGCAAATGGACATGCGGTGCGCTCTGTTCTCCGACGCTTGTCATCGTGCTCAGGAACTTGTGGCGGATGCGGTCGAGGTGATGGTGGGTATTACAGGGAAGGCCGCTGCAGCTTCGACAGCGCAGCTCGAGCCCGGACTGCGTGCGCTCAGCACCCAGGTAGGCAATCTCCCCCTGTCGACGTTCGCGAAAACCCCGTAACGCGAATCGTACGGTAGACGCCACTGACCGGCACCGGCACCTCGTCTTGTCCTTTGGCCATGCGGAAAGCATCTGCACCTGCGACTTAACATAACCGTGTGCTGGCCTGTTGGGCGCAGGCTGAGGACAGGGGCGGCCCGACGGGAGGTTCAGCAGCGGCCCAGGCCGCCGAGGACTCCTCCCGTAGCTCCATGGGTGGGGAGGCATCCATCAGCATGAGCGTGGATGACCTGGAGGGCGACCTTGAGCTGGACGCAGATGCTGAATTGGGCTCGGGTGGGTGCTGCCACCCTGTCAAACCCGCGACAGGACGGTTTCTGGCAGGCGCACATGTTTTCCCTTGTGGCGCAACTTCATTTGTTGAGCGTTCACAGCATTTTGGTATGCCATGGAAACCAGGGACTTCAGCAATGCGGCTGTTTCCTATGTTTTCCTATGTTGGCTTTAACAGCGCAGTCGATGTACCTTAACGAGCCAGTGTTTTGTCGTTATGGCGCGGGTGCCCTGCAGGTGGCGGCCTGGACCTTCCCAGCCCGATTCCCAGCGACAGCGGCTCGTTGGGCTCTCCTATGCGACCGTTTGATTCGGCGGGTGCAGCCAAGTCGTCCGCGGCAAGTGCCGCCACGCCATCCCTTGGGCCTGAGCGCTCCGACCGTGACCTTGCGTTGTCGGGCGCTGCTACCGACGAAGCGCTGGCTGACAGCGGCGTCGGCCTCAACAGCGACGAGGACCTCGGGTAGGACATGAGCGCAGAGCAAACTGCCCTTTCTCACGAGTGCCAGCAGTGAGGAGCTGCACAGGCACGGCATGGCAAGGCATGGTTGTAGGATTATGCCGCCAAGTAATCCTCCACTCCATAAGCACACAAAGCCGAGCTCCAGCCTCTCGCTGTACTTGGTGTACTGCTCATGTGTGTATATCGCCCGATGCACGTGTCTGCATCCGCACTCCGCGCTCACCACGTTGGCGTTCATTGTGCGTGAACAGGTGGGGTGGCGCCGATCTTGAGGAGGACTGGCAGCCGGATGTCTCCGGGTACATCGCACCTGAGGTGGGTTGGGGTGCTGCAGGCTTCTAGTGGGTGTTCGGGTGAGCGTTTGGCAACGGCAACCGACGGGGTACCAGAACTCCGGTTTAGTTTGGCGTCGTTGCCTTCAGCAAAAGACGGGTGTTCATAGAGTTCTCGACAACCCTTGTGGACACAGCGTGGCGTGCAAGTCTTTTTGCAGTGGAGGCATTGTTATCTCTCCCCGGAACCCTTTCCACTCTTGCCCTTCCACAGATGGACCAGGCCGCGATTGAGCGCGAAAACGCGCCTGCTGTCTCCACGGGCGCCGCGGCGGTGGCGGAGTACGCCAGCCAGGTCTTGGAGCAGTTCATAAATAACAGACCAGAGGTAAAGGCCTATTCCTGCACAGCGCTTCTTTCAGGCCACAGCCACATGTGGCATGTGCCTTCAATCGCCTTATGCAAAACCATGTATGCAGTTGCATGCCCATATTCATGCCAGACGATGGAAGCCCACGCTGTTCTCGTATTTGTACTACCACGTGCCACCACAGTTCTTGGTACCCGGCGCGGAGCCACTCAGCCTGGAAGGCTTCCTGGCCCAGGAACGGCGGCTGGTGCACGCCAGCGAGGCGCAGCACATCCATAACAAGATGGTCTACGATGCCATTAACGAAGCGCTGCTGTCAATTTACCGCGGGGCGAACCGTGTCCAGGTACGCCGGCAGTTGGTCGCTAGCTATGTCCCTTGAAGCCGTTCGCTGCGTTGACGTCTCTTGTCCAACTCTACGACGGGTGAGGTCATGAAGATGTTCCCCGCAACCTGTATCGTGCTGCAGACAGCACCCTGGCTGCGTCGTAACCGTGTCGCCAAGCCGCTGCCAAGCCCCGCGGAGATGGCGGAGCAGGTACAGCAGCAGCTGCGGGCGTGGTCTGGAATGAGGATGCGCGACCCTGCCGAAATGGACAAGGTATGCTGCCTTCGGCCGTTTCGGCCCCGGTGTGTCGCATGCACTTGCTACTTTTAATGATTGAGCACAGCTCCCTGCCTGCAACATGCAGAATGCGTATGCTGAATGTTTCAGCTCTCCAATTACCTGATGCGGTGTCCATTTTAAGCTGATTTGGACTACAAACGGATTGTTCGCGCACGCTGTGTCTGCTAGGAGCCGTTGTGTCGAGGTTTATACCCAGCAGAAATTGTATAAATGGAAAGATTGATTCTTCTCGCTGCCCCTTCGTTCTGTGCGTTAGGTCCTGGCGATGGATGCGCAAGAAGACGAGCGAGCTCGTGCCGACCTTGTTGCGGAGGAGGCTGAGGTCGTTGGGGACGTTGCTAACCTCATTTTCGAGGACTTGCTAACGGACACGGCGTTGCAGCTGACGGATATCGAGCAACTCCTTACATCAAGGACGTCATCTCGCAGTACCATGCCCGGCGCCGGGCGGCGGCGCCTGGATACGCTGGCGCCATAGCTGCGACTCAGAGCGTCTGTGGCCTTGATACAGGCCCTAAACGAAACGATTGGGGTATACTTCATGCCATTATGGGTATTTTGGATTTTTGGGGTGCACGTGGTTGGGTTTGGTCGTTACAAATGTTGGTGTATCAATACTCTACTGCAGGGGGCTTTTGACGAACTGGTTACCTGGGCGGATCGGGAGCTTAAGAAGTACTGCGAACCACGACAGTGAAAGTATTTGCTTGCGGCCATGGCCCTGACTATGAACATTGTGAGGGGGTTGGTGGTGGGGTTTTGAGAAGAAACGCGCGAGACCAAACGAGTTGCCAACGTGACCATGGACTCGACTGCTATGCTACTGGGTGTCATAGGATTTCATGATCTTGATCATTTCCTTGTGAATACGTATTGCATGGTTCGGACCCGTCCGACGGATGACGTACGTTCTGTTGGCCGAGTGGGCTTATACAACGTAACGAAAGATAACATTTGAGCGAGCTGTGTAGGGGCTCACAACTGGTACCGTTATGTACCGTTGGATACCTATCAGTGGGCACGAATATGTTCAACGGTGGGCATTTCCGTGCATGGGGCTCCAACTGTACCCGTGTAATCCTCTCCGTGCCATGAGGACTTGATTTTGGGAAAAGGGGGGCACTGGCACGAGCCACTTGATGGAAATGACATGGAAACAGAGCTCCTTCCTTGCGTTCCTTGTTACGAAAGCAAGGTGAGCAGTATATATAAAGAAAAGGGTACGTCACACGCTTCCCTTTCAAGAAACGTGGTATCCGTGCTACGGGCCCGGACGGTGTAAAGCAACACGTGGGGGATTGGCCCTCCGGCGGGTTTGGGATCTCATCCCGAGGCCCGCAGGATTGCAAGTCTATAATGCAAGACTATAATTGCAAGTCTATAGTGCAAGACTATAATGCTGACCGCTATCCTAACCTGTAGGTTGGACAAGAGGGATTACGCAGCATAGTTGGCCTTATTGCAAAGGCCCTTGCTTGGTTTCTCATGTACCCGTACCAACCGAATTTCAAAGGTTTCATAGTTCACATCTGGCAAACTTTCGCGTTTTTGAGTTCAACCTCATATACTCGGATTGTTCGTATAGAACTGGCATTCGTTGCAGAAACGTGCTGTACTGAGGTGCCACGGCGCCCCAACTTGTGCGTCCTGCGCCCAACCCCCGCTGCAGAAGGCATGCGCGCTTTGGCAACAATCTGCGGGGTCTAGGACTTCTTGTGTCAGGCAAGGCACCATCGACCTAGAGGAGAGCAGGATCTCGAGCCTGAAGACGGCGGCTCAGCCGGGGCAGGTCAGCTTTACACGGACAGAATTATTGCAAATAGTTTTTCGTGATGAAGTTTTGAAGCAGCAATATGGCTGACTTTTATGTTTCCTGACTGCAGGCCCTTTGGCGCTTGCTCGGCAGCCTCCGCTTGGTCCGCTCCTACTGCTTCTAGTAGCAGTTTCCTCAAACGATGGCATCGACTATCCCTCCCGGCGCAGGTTCCCTTGTGACCGCCCTCTTAGCGGAGATTGAGAAGGACCGGGAGGCCAAGAAGAAGCGCCAAGAGGAGCAGAAGTCAAATCAACATCAGAAAAAGGAGGCAAAGAAGTCGGAGGACAGCGACGACAGCGATGCGGAGAGCGACCGTTCCGAGTCGCCCGGCCCGCCAGACCCGCGAACGTGCACGGTTTCCGGACCGGGCTTTGCGGGTGGTGCATCAGGCGCCCCCGTGAACCTCATAATCACTTGCAAGGATGAAGACGGAAAACGGTGTACCGAGGGAGGAGATGATGTGGTGGTTAAGGTGGTGCCAGCGGCAGGTGCCAGCGGAGGCTCAGTACAGTACATCGACGTTCATATTGAAGACAAAGACAACGGCATGTATGTCGCTACGTACACTGCACCATCCAAAGGGACGTACAACGTGACTGTGGAGATAAATGGGCGCCCGCTTGAGGGCTCACCGTTCCCGGTTTTCTTCGGACCCCCAGCTGACCCTGCGACAGCGTCCGCAGCTGCGGCAACTGGGGCGGCCGCTGGGCCCTCGGCCATGACATCTGCGATAGCCGCCGGCACAGCAGCCTTGGCCAATGCGGGCCTTGGCGCGGCTGCCGGTTCCCTTCCCGTGCAGCCGGCTGCTCTGCCTAGCCTGGCAGGGGCATTGCCGTTACAGGGGCTTCCGGGAAACTTTGGGGCAGGCCTTGGTGGGCTTGCGACGCTTCCAACCCTACCCAACGCACAGCCAGGCGGTATCAACCCCGCTACGGCTGCAGCCGTAGCCGCTTCACTATCGACACAAGCGACGCTAGCAGCAGCTGGGCTTTTAACAGGCGGCACGGCCAGTGTACCTGGTCTCCCAGGTGGCCTTGGCGCTGCCACGAACCCGTTGGTCGCGGCGGCATTTCCCCAGCTGGCATCGGTGGCACCTGTGGTTGATCCTCAGGCGCGTACTCTGCTGGTTTCGAACATCACATCCAAGGTCACGCCAGAACAGCTAAAGCAATTGTTCGCTGTCCTAGGCAGCGTGCAGCACCTGCAGATGTTGGGCACGGACATGGCCATGATTGAGATGACCACGCTCCAGGACGCACAGGTACGTCTGGGATAAGCGGCCTAACAGGCCTCGAAGCTGCAATGCACCCGGCTTACGGTTGGCATGAGGATTATCACGGGGCGTCAGGGCTATACACCGCACGCTTATTGTGCTGCGCCTCAAATGAGTATCATGTGCATGGCGGCGGATGGAATGTCGTCACCTGCAGTCCCTGGTCGTGTACAATCCAGAAGTAGGTGCAGAGTGGAATGATGGTATTGTGGGATATTCATGGTTCTGAGGGTTATTTGTTTGACGCCTTTGCTCTCCCAACCCGCAGTCCGCGCTGGCACTTCACGGTCACCAGCTGGGTGACAAGGCACTCAGCGTCCAGTTTCTGTCAGTAGCGCAGGAAGCGATGGCGTCCAATCCTCTCATGGCGCTAAAGCTGCAGCAAATCCAGCAAATGCAGCAGACAATGAAGAGTGGAGCCGCGCTGGCGGCACAGGTGCGTCATGGGCCCGGGAGACCTCGGGTATGGTAAACTCTTTCGGCAACTAGCGACGAAATCTGCGAAAGGTGTAGAGCTATTATCACGAGCCTGGGTCCCCCTTTTCATCTTCGATTAGAGCTCCAGCATGTTACATCATCCTGCTAAATAGTTGCCTTGCTTATGTACTACTCTCACCACTGGTGTGGTCTCATGCCCACGATGGTGCCATGCCACGCAGCTGTGGGATACATAAGTGAGCAGCCCGCGTGGTCATATGCACGTGTAGGTCGCACAGCTCCGCGCCATGGCCAAGTATGGAGTGACCTCCCTGGACCCCTCAAAAGAGGCTGAGGAGGCGGCGGCACGTCTTGCGAGGCGCTTGGGCGGCCGCAGCCGTAGCCGATCTCGCGATCGCCGGCCAAGGTCGAGGTCATGGTCCCGCGATCGACGCGATCGCAGGTAGGGCGCATCTCCTTACGCCGGGTACTTGTATTGCGACGTGTTATACCTGTCCAGGATATGGCGGCTGAAGTTCGTGCTAGGAATTTAAGTTTTTTGTCCACTCTGGCACGGAGGTGACAGAACCTTTGTGTTTTCAGGTTGCAAGGGCTAGGCCTGCTCGCTTTGGTGCGCACCAATATAGCATTGTGAGCCCTTACGTGCCATGAACTAGGAGGTGAATTCCGTTGATGATATGGTTCGCCTCCACCGCAGGGATGACCGGTCCCGGTCGCGGGACCGGCGGCGCCGGAGCTCTCGCAGCCGAGAGCGCAGCCGGGAGAGGCAGCGAGAACGCGAGCGGGAACGAGAACGGGAGCGGGAACGGGAGCGCGAGAGGGAGCGTGAGCGGGAGAGGAGGGAGCGGGAACGGGAGGTGGGTCTCTCTTCGTTCCCATAATCTATTAGAAGACATATCCACTTATAAAGCATTTGCGTTGAGGCCGTTGCCTCGCTAAAATTATGCTATGTGAAGCCATGCAAATGGGTGGCCTGTTGTGGGGTTCATCATGTCTACAGAGGCAACGCCGCGAGCGTGAGCGACAAGAGCAGCGGGAAAGGGAACGTGAGCGGGAGCGCGAACGGGAGCGGGAGCGGCGCAGGGCGGACAGTCGGGAGCGCCGTCGCAGTCGAAGCAGGTGAGCTGCTCATAGTGCAAAAGGCTCCTGGTGTGGGGTGAAGTGCAGCAGGGCGCATTAATTACTCGTGCCGTGTGTGTCCGTTAGTGCAGCGTTAACCTTTATCATCCAACATTTAGCATTGCCCAAACGGCCCAACACGTACAAGTCTCGTCTCCTCGCACCTGTGAGTTTCATGCGATGACTGTGATGCTACTTATGTTCAGGTCCCGCAGCCGCGACCGGCGTATCAGGGACAATGAGCGAGGGCGCAATCGTGATAACGGCCGCAACGTCAGCCGGAGTCGAAGTCGCGGTCGCGACCGCAGTCGGGATCGCAAACCGCCAGTGCAGGACCGCAGTAAAAGTCGGAACCGGAGCCGCAGCCGCAGCCGAGACCGCAGCCGGGACAGACGCGGACGTGACAAGGATTCGACTGCTGCAGCTAACGGTGACGGCCGAATGGACGGCAAGGAAAAGAAGTCGAAACACCATAAGCGCGACAAGAAGGAAAAGAAGGACAAGGAGCGCAGGCGTGACCGCCGGGATGCGGATGAGGCAGAGGAGGACGCGGAGGCGCCGGTGGAGGCGGCACGCTGTGCAGGAGACGAGGCAGGTCCCAGCGGGGCCAAAGCAGAGGGTGACGTTGACGAGAAGATGTCATCACCAGCACGGGAGTCAGAGGGCGCGGTTGGTGAAGACAAGGACCGTGAGGTTTCCAAAAGCCATGACTCCAGGGATGTTGGGGCTGGTTCACCTATGGCAGAAACCCGTGCTTCACCCGTGGCAACTTCGGCCGAGGACAAGATGGACGAGCATTGAACCGGGAGAGGAATGTATGACATTTATTACGGTTACAATGGCAAACTTGACGTCAGAATTTAATTTTGGTATAAGCAGCTTCCGATGCTCATTGGTGTCGGCGAAAGGGGAGCGTGCGGCATGAAAGGGTGCCGAGGCACTTCGTGTGTCAGTTGGGTCAGCTGTGCGTAACCTCCGAGTGGCTGTTCCAATGAAAGGATGAAGTTGTAAGCTTGGCTGCAAGCACTCGAAACTTACACGCTATGGATGGGAGGAAGGCATGCACACTTATCCGTACTTACAGCGAAGAACGGGTATTACGATGCGTTTAAATCTAAATCGGATGTGTAACGTGAAAATATTTTGTTGAAGTACTGCAGGATAGCTGGTGCTATGTCCAGTATGCTTTGGTAGGGGGTAAGGTGCGTAGCAAATCGCGTCACGTCCCATTCGTTGATGGTTTGGATAATTGCTACGTGCAATAGCAGAGTTACAGGAGCCGGGAAATGAACTGCAGTGTCGCAAGGGGTATTCACTCCAGGAAGTAATCCCACAAGCTCAATTTTAGCAGCGTGGCAATCATGGCAATCACGTGTACAGCATGGGTACGGCGGTTAAGCTCCAGAGCCAATGCCTTCAGCATCCAATTCTTTGTCTGAATGTTAACCTTTTCAGTGGAGATATGACCGGAAGCGCACTGATTGCAGCAAGATGGCCCGGAAAAACAAAGTGGCCTACTTCTATGACAGTAAGCAACATGCTACGCATCAATTTTTTGTTGCACCTAGTCAAGATAATGGGTGCGTTTGGCAGGCGAGTTCCAAGAATTCTATTTTGGTCAGAACCACCCGATGAAACCGCACCGGCTGGCTATGACACACCATCTGGTCCTAGGATATGGTCTTCACAAGAAAATGGACGTATTTGTAAGTATACATGGACTGAGCCGTGATAAATGATACCGCCCACATATAGCAATTATGCGTTCCGCAGCGTCCTCGCAAGGCCCACCCAGCTGAGCTTGCACAATTTCATAGCGAAGATTATGTGGAATTCCTCTCGAAAGTTACACCGGACAGTGCTGCCAAGTATGCTAATCAACTCCGTCAGTACAACTTCAATGATGACTGTCCCGTCTTCGATAATATGTTCAAGTAAGTTCATGTTGTAGCTTGTGGTTAGTCTGACGTTCCGGAGATGATTTTTGTTCTGGCTGTAGGTTCTGCCAATTGTACGCGGGGGCATCAATCGAGGGTGCCGTCAAGCTGAACCACGGCTTGTGTGATATTGCGATTAACTGGTCGGGGGGCCTGCATCATGCTAAGAAGGGTGAGGCATCTGGCTTTTGTTACGTGAACGACCTGGTGCTTGCAATCCTTGAGCTCCTCAAGTACCACGCAAGAGTTCTGTACATTGATATCGATGTTCACCATGGTGATGGCGTGGAGGAGGCGTTCTACCTCACGGATCGGTGAGGTGGTTGTTAGTTGGAGCGGTTACCCTGCCTGCCTTCGTCGATCAGCTTCCCATGAGCCTCTTGACTCGTTTGGGCCGTACAAGCTCGTGAACCTTTTCACAAAAGTCCAGACGTCCCAGTCCTCCTTATGTTTTTGTAGCTGAGCTAATGGGCTGAAGACCCTAAAATCCAGCCACTGTCAGGGCCTCACCTAGTTTGGCACAGCGCCTGTTTAAGCTATATTCCAAACGCGTAACAGGGTGATGACCGTTTCCTTTCACAAGTACGGCGACTACTTCTTCCCCGGAACTGGTGATCTCACGGACACGGGCGAGCTGAACGGCAAGTACTACAGCCTCAACGTGCCCTTGAAGGTACGGCATATAAGCTACAACTCCCATGGCACGGCTGCACGACCCCAGGGTGCAACGCGATAGCCTTCTGCCACTACCTTGGGTCTTTCATCGCAATGCTTTCGGTTGCTGTCATGTGTGACACACTCGCGTGTGAGCACACCGCCACCCGCACCGCTACCCCGCACCGCCGACTCACTCCAAATGCCGCACCCGCCGTCATGCTGCCGTCGTGGCTGTCCTGTGCCGCTGTGCGCTAACCAACAGGACGGCACCAACGACGAGACGTTCCACGCGCTGTTTAAGCCCATCATGCGCCGGGTGATGGAGGTGTTTCAGCCGGGGGCTATTGTGATGCAGTGCGGTGGGTACAAAGCTGCGGGTTGGTAAAGTGGGGAAAGGGGAGGGGGGTGGGTGCCTGGCGGCGTGCCGCTGCAGTCCCAGGGGCCGAGGCGCTCTCGACGTGGGCTTCGGCCCCGCGGTACAGCCAAGTAAAGTAAGTGTCTGTGCGCGGGACCGGGAGCTCCTTCCTGACCGCTGAAGGCCGCCACGGTACACTCCAATCGGCAATCAGACAAACTTTACCCGGCATCGGCCTTCCAGTTGAGACAGTGTGCCCCAAACCTTCGTTGCTATGTGCTATCAGGGTGTCGGGGCGAGGAGGTACAGCACCGTAGGGCAGCGCTGGTAGAGAGTGGCGAGGCGTGGCAGATAAACTGGTGTTGGTGTTGGTCGCTGCGTACCAGCTCTTCCCTACCTGAGAGACCAGGAGCAGCTGTCAGTAGCTTTCCTTCGCACTCCGTATTCGCATACCTCCGTTGAAACTTCTTCCCATCTGCGTTATGACTGCGATGACCGTGGTGCCGTCGCTCTGGCGTTGCCGGGGTTGGGACCTGCGTGCTGCAGGCGCCGACTCGCTCGCGCATGACCGGCTGGGTTGCTTCAACATGTCGCTGCGGGGCCACGGCGAGGCGATTCGCTTTATGAAGGAGTTTGGTGTGCCGCTTCTCATCACGGGTGGGGGTGGCTACACCAAGCACAATGTGGCACGATGCTGGACATACGAGACAGCCATCCTCACAGACACGCAGGTGGGCGTCAGGGGGCCACAGCAGGAAGGGCGGGGGAAAACCCACGGGGGGTAGGAGGGCGCAGGTGAAGGGGCCGCAGCTGAAGGCAAAAACAGACATGCGTTACCTGTCCTTCCTTCATACGCCTGCACGCTCCCTCTCTCTCTCTCTCCCTCTCCTTCTCTTAGTCTTTTCCGTCCTCATGCTTCCGCGCTTTGGAGGTGCGGTGAGGTCAGAGGCTCCTAAACGGTGTACTTAAAACATTCCGCCGCACAGGTTCCGGAGCAGCTCCCGCGCTCCGACTACCATGAGTATTTTGCGCCAGACTTCTCACTAAACGTCTCCGCGCATAAGGTGACTGGGGCCCCAGTGCCGGCGGGCTTGGAGGGTGTCGGGCGGTTGGGCAGGGCAGAGGCCCTGGGTTACCAGAGGGGGAGGGGCCCTGGAATGGCCACCGGGGTGCGACCCTCCCGCGGGACCTTCCTCACCTCACCTCACCTCACCTTGCCGCAACAGGGCCGGGTGGTGTGTGCGCTAGGAGGTAGGGTTGCGCATCATTGCGCACTGTTTGGGGCGGTCTGGGGGGCCGCCAGTCGGGTCCACCAGTCGCCCCTGACCTGTATAATTATAACTCCTATCGGACGCCTTCAGCATGCACGTCCCTCGACGTGGGCTTAGCACCCACTCATCAGCGTCGTCTACCCAGCGCTAGCGGATCAACGGCCGGCCGGTATGTGTGCCCGCGTGTGCGTATCCGTGATTGTATGTGGGCGGCTCGCTCCAGGTGATGGACGACAACAACACGAAGGCGGACATTGAGCGCATCCGGCGGGAGGTGCTCGAGTACCTGCGGCACCTGCAGCACGCGCCGGGGGTCCAGATGCAGGAGGTGCCGCCTGACTGCCGGGTGCCGAGGTGGGATGAATCCTGGGGGGGATGGCCTGACTGCCGGCGTAGGAGGAGCCCTGGCAGGATGGCTGGGTGGGGCAGGGTGGCTGGGCCATAAACGGGGTCGAGGGGATGGGCCTAAGCCAAGCCCAACATATGGTGCAAGGTGGCGTGAAGCTCGGGGGAGGGAGGTGCGGTGGAGGTAACGCGAAGGGGGTGGGGAGGAGGAGGAGGCTTGGATGCGTGCAGTCCGGACGGCTGTGGAGACTTGGGGATTGTGTAGCCGGGCCCGGCTGTATGACAGTATTTGTTGAGTTTGAAGCATGCAGTCCGTTAGGCTGAGATTGCTTGCTAGCACTGCGTTGCACTTTATTCCTTGCGCCCACTACTGCATGGGCTGCCCGGCGCCCGGTAACAGAGGCCAGCCCTTCATTTTGCGATTACTCGTTACCACCAGGTACAACTACGACGAGGAGCCGCTGGAAGAGCGGGTCGGCAAGTACGCCCGAGAGCACCTCATCATCCGGGACGAGGACGGATTCGGGGAGGGCGGCGTAGGTCTGGGCAGCGGGGTAGCGGGGGGCTACCACGATCCGTACGAGTGAGGAACATCTCAACCCGAACTTGACGGGTCCTTGCGCGACCGCGCTGTGACGGCTGGGGTTGTTGACCCGCCGCGACGGGTTGGCGGGGGCTGGCAGGGCTGGCTGGACAGCCGAGGAATGAGACCTAACCGAGTAGTGACTGGCCCTGAAATTAGGGACAGTTGGCGCTCTGGTGGCGGACGGCTGTGGCTCGGAAGCTTCTTGGGACAAGCCAGGGTTGCTGTGGGCCACGATGCTATCCATTTGCCTTTACGGAGCAGTGGAGCGGTAGCGAGGGGTCCGGTCACACAGTAGTGATCCTTTTCGCGCGCAATCCTTCCGCGGAAATGATGCAGCCTCCGTGCCATCGCGCGAGTTGCACCGCGTCTCGAGTGTATAACGGCTGCTGGCCCTCCTCAGCGCTCAGCCGAGCTTCTAGCTCAGTGGTGGGGGGTTTGAGGCGCTTGTGCCACCGGCGGTTCCATCGTGGTGGGCAAGTGCCTTATTCGTGGGCAGTCAGTGCAGCGCAGTCGTTCAGGACATCATCCGCTATCTTCCGACTGACGCGGCGGTCCCAGTGAGTTTTCCACTTGTATGCAACGCGGCCTCTCCTATGTTTTGCGGCGGATGGGTGCGGCATGAGGCAGGACAGAGGGTGCCGCCTCTGCAACCCGTGCCGTCACCCGCCGTCAGGACCACCTTACCCTGGCAGCTCCTCATGGCTTGCTAGCTATGCTGGACCCCACGAATCGACACGACACGTCGAACACCCGCACGTCGCATGGCGGCCAAACAGTGGTTGCGCGGATGCAAGCGCCCTAGGGCCAGGCACCCTCCTAATACCGGAGCACCGGGGGCGGGGGAGCCCCGGTGCGGGTCGGCTGGTCGTGGATCTGGTGCGCAGCGGCGGTTGTTGTTGTTGTCGTTGTCGCGGCTGCGTTTCCTGTTTTGCTGTTGTTGCTACGTGCGTGGTGTGCATGTGTGCCTCTCTTCCGCATGCACACTTACCACAAGCACGTGCAAACACGCGTGCGGCTGTAATGGCGCCACCGCCATAGCGTAGCGTATGCTTGCAAACCGCCTGGGCCTCACCGACGCAGGCCGAATCCCTAGTAGAGGCTCAACTTTCCGTGAGCAGCCGCTCCCTCGGGGGGGGGGGCCCGATCCGCCTCTTGGCCCCGGGATCCCTTGATGCGAACACATAACATGCGCACGCAGCTCAGTTCCCGCCCTCCCCTACCAAATACACGGATAAGGCTGTGATGGTGATGGTGCGCGTGGATGGTGCACTGATCACATCCGGCTGTGATGGTGATGGCCCGGAGGCCACTGGTCACTGTTGGGACCCCACATGAAGGTCGAAAGGGTGGCCCGGGCGGGGCTGGCAATGTGACGCGCGAGTTAGGTCAGCGATGGGTACCCTTGCGACGTGGCTGTGGGCCTGCATGCATATCTGACTTAGTCTCTTTGGGCCCCGTCTTTCCTACCCTTCCCGTCTGCTAACTGATATGCTCTGGCAGCCAGCTCCGGTATGTTTATATGTTTGTCTGTAACGGGGGAGTTACCACCAGGCGCGGGCACCCGGTGATAATGAGCGGGAGGTTTGGCAATGAGTACGGGGGACTTTGAGCGCGTACGGGTGCAATTGCAACGGGAGGTGATTTCCTCCCCGGGCGCTGCGGCGGTTGTCTCTTCGCGCACCGCTGTCGAGGCCGCGACGGACTTTTGCATAAGCAGTGCGTGATGTGGTGTGTGAATGGTAGCAGGTGGACGAGTGAGGAACACCGGAACACCATGAGCAGGAAGTCTTTGGGTTACGGGACCTAGAACGAGGAATTCGGATACACCGCGTGGGTATTGCGAATCTGGGCTGTGCTGGAGTTTCCAGAAGAGATGTTTCCGTGGGTTTCGCAAACGGTCGAGGACTGGCAAGCAAGGAAAGGAAGTATACGTATGTATACAAGTAGACGCGACATCAAATTTGTCGTTCATTATAAATTCATCCAATTGCATTAAGTATAATAATATATTTCAGGCGTGTGGGGCTTCGATAGGAGGATGCTTTTGTCTGCTGTTCGGCCGTACTAGGTCTCCCCACTTGGCCTGATTCAGGTCCTGTCTTTTCGACGCTTCATATTTTGCGCAGCTTTGCGGTGGTGATGCCGAACGATTGGCTAGGGTTTCCCCCTCTTGTTGTTCTTCTGTGGGCTTTCATAGTGTGGTCTGTTGTGCATTCCGCTGAAAAGGTTTGGCATCGCTGAGGCGGCCGCTGCAACTGTAAAAGGCAGCAGCATTCGCCATTCAGCCCGACAGTATTTTTTTCTTCGTTGCGTGGCTGGCGTATCATGCCCATGCTGCCGAGGTCATTATGGAATGAATGGAGGTTTCAGCTGGATGCAGCGAGCCACACGGTACAGGTTGCAGGCAACTGAATTCATACGGACGAGTCGAGCTGTCGATTCTGCGTGATGATTTCAGTTTGGTTTCCTAGTATGAGGGAGGTCGCATCGGGGGTTAAGGCGAAGATGCGCAAAAGGGCGGGCAGCTGTAAAGCCACAGAGTACGAAAACGTGAAACCCTCTATTTCCCTTAGTAGGCAGGGCGAAAGGCACTGTACTCTGCAACACTGCAATGTAAATAGAGCGTGGAGTTTGCAAGAAAGTGATTTGCGAGGAGCATTTAATCTTTCAAGATGACCGTTACTGCCGCCAGGGCGAAGGTCGGAACGAGCTGGATATGCTTAAGCCTAAAACACGCTCGTGCTTGAAGAATTTATTACGTTATTTTATTGTTTATATTTCTATGCATGTAAGCCCCCGGAGAACGCAGTTTCATAGCAACCCAAGATTCCAGTGCAGTCATCTCACCGGATACTGGTAAACATTTAGTTGTTTCGGTAGCCTAATGCGCTCAAGGACATCCTCATACGCTAAGCCGACTCATACAATAATTTCGACCGTTCAGAGATGGCAGGGTTTGCAGAACCCTTGTAAATTGCAACCCTAACCTGTAAGTTGTATCCGTTTCAGAGGCATGCGCGTTTACCAGCTGCAACGCATCTACATTACTCACATATTTGAGAGCATCATGTGCCTCCTGAGCTGGTTGGCTAAGGCAAATCCACACACACGGGCAAAAGTACGGACGCGCACCCACGGGGAGCACGAGGATGAAACTCCCACGCGCCACCCTGTGACACTGTTTCACTCTTTTTTTTTACGCACAACGTTTTCGTTTGTAGTCTTTTGCTGCGGGTTGTACTTCTTGCGACAAACGACCTCGTGGACCAACTAGCTTGTCGAGCTTTAGCCGTTTTGGTCGTGGATATATTCCTTGACTTGTGGTGTTGTGTTAATCGCACAGACTTCAATCATTTAGGTTTTCTGATTGGGGTGGGCGGTCCTGCAAGGGATAACGTGCGGCGACTTCGTGTTAGGTGGCTGGCTCTTGGCGATTCCGCACATACGGCCCTGCCTTTGTCCTCGGCCCATTAACAGCCTGTGCTTGGGGCCCCGCTTAGATATCACGGCGCAACCCTGGCTCAGTCGGCCCTGGGCCACCTGTTGCTGGTGGCGCTTTGGAGGAATCACGGAGCCATAAATAGGGTAAGGCGGATTGAGGCTTGTATGCTTTTAGTCCGTCCAGAGGACGCGAAGAAACTGTCACAATTGCTATGGCTATTCCGATTCAACTTGTCCGTTTGCAGGCCTCGCCGTGTCTGAATTTCTGATGGCCAGAGAAGCAGATCTTGAGCTTTGGGATATTGATATCGACCAGAGTTCTGTACCTGGACATCCGGAAGCGTGGACATTGGCTGGCTACACTTGGGACCCCGTTGGCCTTGTGGCCACACGGAAATCAGGTGCGGGGCCTAACTAATCCAGCAAACAGTACGTTAATCAGTCCTAGTCGGAATAGATGCCCCGCAGCGACAGTCGCGAAGGTCCTGTAAAGCTTTCATGGGCCGTACTTCTTCCCCCGCCGGATCGGGGGGCGTCGCATGGGCCCAGCGCCTTGTCCATCCTCAATCCTAGCCCGCGCCATAATCCACTGGAACGCATTCATGGAACTTCTGTCTCCTCTGAGCCCTGGGGACTCCAACAACTTTTGGTCCCAGCCCCAACAACAGCCAGCCACCTGCTGGCCTCCCTGCCGCCGCAGCAATGGCAGCCATGCGGCTGCCTCTCCATTCCTACCCTCAGCAGTTGACTCCATCCCCAATCTGGACCCCCGGGCCTTTCTGCTTACGAGTCTATTTGTCCGCTTTTTCTGTAAAGCTCCGAACCTCCTGTGAGCAGCTCTGGGCTGTCCTGGTGTTGCTCGCGTCGATTTGACTGCTTGCCGTTATGTTTCCTTGTCACGCACTTGGCCTGCAGTTACAGTGGAGAATCGGGGGGTTTACGCCAGCAGCATCCAACAACTCAATAATAATATCGACATAAACAACAGCAACAGCAATCCCAGCGGGGACAACGACAGCGGCGGAGGTTCAAACCAGGACTTGGAACCCGGCATGGAGGTGGACCCGCGAGATGGCGGCCTCTGCCCCTTGGACCCGGAGCTGCTGTCCTCGGCGCCCGTGTACCAGCCACAGCCTGCAGGCTCCAAAATGATGATATGCCAGGTGAATGAACGACACGAATTATAAGAGGCGAGAGGAAGAGGGGGTCTTGGGGCGCAAGGTGGAAAACGAATTGGGTCAGCTCGGTGTGTGTGTGTGTGTGTGTGTATGGAGAACGGATATGGAAGGGTTTTGGCGTTATGGGTCTGGTTGGCGTTGGGTTTATTATTTTGGGGCCTTTGGACAGTCGCACCTCAGAACGACTGCGGACCGCGGCTGGGGTACAGGAGGCTATCACTGTAGTGGTGTGTGGACGTCTAATGGCCAGGGATGGAAGGCGCATGTATGCGGATATCGTCTTGCTACGAAGCACTGCCGTCCGGGGGCCCGGGAAAGACGAGGGAGAGGGCAGAGGTTTGCCTGGGAGGGGCCCAGTTCATATGTTGTTATTCATGCAGGGTTGCTTGGTCCTTTTCCCTCCTCGTGCACAGGTTGCTGGCTGTGGCGTCAACCTGGAGGGCATGAAGGGCTACTTCCTGCGCCATCGCGTGTGCGAAGAGCACAGCAAGGCGCCGGTGCTGCTCATCGGAGACATCCCCTCGCGCCTCTGTCAGCAGTGTTCCAAGTTTCACCACGTATCGGCATTTGAGGGCAGCAAGAGGTACTTCCGTGCGGACGTACTTCCTGTCTGTCTGCCTGCCTGCCTGCCTGTCTTTCCGTCCCTGCATTTCCGGTTCTTCGTGCCTTCATGGTGACCGATCGGGTGACGGCATCTGGGGTAGCTTTGGGGGTGTATTTAACAGTGGTGGTGGTGGGGGGGGATGTAGTGGCGGCGGGCAGGCAAGACGCATGGCACACAACCACGCATTGGCGAAAGTAGTCCCACAGCGCCCTTTCGCTGCGTCCTTCTTTATGACCAACGGGCCCTCTCATCATCCGCCATGGCGCGCCCTCGGACACCAGGACCTGCCGCGTGCAGCTGGACAGAATCCGGATCAATAAGCGTATCCGCCGCAATCGCAAACTGAACGCTGCTGCGTCGACAGCCCTGGCCGCCGCTGCCGGCTTCCAAGACGAGGGCGACGGTGGGACTCTGGGTGAGTTGCCCGCCCGCCCCGCATCCGCTTTCGGGGGAGGCGGTGGCCGGGCGAAGCGCCCCGCGGACAGCAGCGGCAGCGGCGAGGGCTCTTGGATATACAGCCGCAAGTCCTCGCGTCACGGAGGCACAGGCGGCGGCGCCGTGCGTGGCGCACGTGGTGGCGCCGCTTGCGATGTCGTCGGTAGCGGCGCTGGCGACGCACTGGCGGCATCTGCGGCGACAGCGGCCGCTACCATTGCAGGAATTGCGGCCACGGCCACCTTCAACGAGCCCGAGCCGCTGCCTGAGTCCGGAGCCAGCGATACTGGGTCTCGAGAACACCCCCGCGCCAGCCTGGGCCTGTCAGGCTTGATGCGCTGGCCGGGGACGCTGAGCTCTGCGCCACCGCCGCCACGTTCGCCGCCATCTGCTGTAGTGGCTGGGGTAGCGTCGGAGGCAATGGGCCATGTGGTGGCGGGCGGGTTTGGAGAGGGCGGCAGTGGCAGCGGCGCGGCGCTTGCGCATTCACCCGCTAGCGCTGTTACGGGTGGAAGCGGCAGCGCCGGTGCGGGCGTGGACAACTCCACCGGTATGCAGAACTCAGGTTTCAGCAACAACCACTTCCAGCAGCCGCAGCAACAGCAGAATCATCCTCATCAGTCCGGGAATCGAGTGACGCGCCTGGACAGCTTACCGGTGTCGGGAGCGGATGTGGGTGGCCCAGGCAGCATCGCCGCCGCGGCGGCGGCGGCGGGACTGGTAAATGAGGGCAGTCTGACGGCGCCGCTCGGGGATCATGCCGTACCATCCGGCTTGGACCTTGCATCGTTAGTCAGGCAGCAGGATTCGGCCGCCGCTGCAGCGCAGGTGCTGCCAGGGCAGCACCTTGCCGCGGGCTCCCCGGTAGACGGCACTGCTGCCTGTGTCGGCGTCCCGCAGGCAGCGGGCCAGGCGGTCCGGTTGAATGACCGCATCGCAGCGGCAGCAGGTTGCTTGCTACGGCCTCTTTCGGGGCCGGACTCTGGCGGCAGTAGCAGTGCCGCGGCGCAGGAGATCACGTCGCTGTGGAGTACAACAGCGGCCCTGCTGAACCGAACGGAGGGTGCGGCCGCTGCCGTGGCGGCGGCGGCGGCGGTTGGAACGGTTGAGCGGCAGCTGTCGCAGCAGCGACAGCCATCTCTACCGGAAAGTGGTAGCGGCGGCGGGTCGGGGCCTGAGATGTTGCTGTCCGCTACCTCGCTGCATCCTCTGCTGCAGCAGCAGCTACAGCAAGAGTTGCTGCTGCATCAACAAAAGCTGCAACTGCAGCAGCAAAGCATGCTGCAGCAGCCGCTGCTGCTGGAGGGCAGCAGGCCATTGCTGCAAGGAGAATCGATCAGCATTGTCAACCTTACGGAATTGGCGGCACAGCAACAGCAGCAGCAGCAGCTCAACCAGGCCAGCACACGTCTCTGTCACCAGCAGCTGCAGCAGCAGCAGGCGTTGTTGATCCAGCAGCACCAGGCGGCATCTACGGGAACATTGGGACAAATTCTGCTGGATGTGCCGATGCAGCTGCCGGGCTGTGGGGATGCATCGCTGCTTGCTACCACCACTGCCGCAGCCGGCGGTGCAGGTACTGCTCGTTTGGCAGAGTCGCAGTTCGTTGCTGCAGCGGTGCAGCTGCCGTTGCCGGCGCAGGCTGCTGCTATTAGCCAACTTTCCGGACCCTCCAACGTCACCGGCTGTTCCGCCCCGGGTGCCAGGAAGGCTCCCGGCAGCGCGTCGCATACCGGCGGCGGCGGCGACACCGACGGCGGCGGCCGCGCCGCCGGCACGTCGATCCCGTCGGGTGGCACCAACGCGCTCAGCTCTTCAAAGCTTGTTCGGATGTCATTGGAGAACGATGACGCGTTGGACGAGAGCGGCATGCTTCTGAGCAACCTGATGGACCTGCTGCAAACTCAGGCCGCCGAACCACGGGACAGTGCCACCGCAGAACCACGGATTGCCTGGACCGCGAATAACACCGGCCTTACCTTTAGCGAGCCTGACAGCTGTGGCCGCGGCAACGGCAGCATGGAGATGTCCGCTGCCGGTACCGCCGCTGCCGCTGCCGCAAGCAATGGCTTTGGAGGTCTGGCTGGGGCCGGCGGCGGCGGCGGACGGCCGGTCGCGTTGGGCGATCTGAGCAACGCTGCCGCGTTATCGCGCGCCAGCTCCGGCGCTGTCGGCTCCCCGCAAGAAGCCGCCATGCTGAAGGCAGCGGCGGCCGGGGTCGCTTCTCGTCTGGGCTCCCTCGAGGCGCTGGGGGTAGGCGTCCCGGGCGCGGCACTGGCTGGCTGCCGCGGTGGCACAGGCCTCCTGGCTGCCGCTGCTGCCGCCGCTGGCCTGGGCACGACCACTGGAGCCCTGACGGTGCCCGTACCTGGCGCCCTGGCTGCTGCTGCCGCTGCCTCCGCCGCCGCAGGTGGTGGTGGTGGCGGCGTCGGCGGTGTTCCGGTCCTAAATGGCCGCATGTTGGACGGACTGGGTAGCCTGAGTGCAGCTCCGGGTTTGTCGGCGCAGCTGCAGGAGCAGGCCCTGCGCGCGCCCACGAACCCGCTAGCGACAACGAATGACCTGCTGCTGCAACAGCAGCTACTGCTGGCGCAGCAGCAGCAACAGCTCCAGCTGCTGCAGCAGCAACAGCTGTTGAGGCTGCAGCAGGCACAGGCTCATGCACAGGCGCAGGTACCGGGTGTGATTATGTCGGGCGGCGCGGCGGCGGCGGCGCCGTCGGTACCGGCTGCCGGGCTGCTGCTTTCCCGGTTGCTGGATGCTGACACGAAGACCCACCACCTGTCAACGGAGCTGAATGTGAGCCCTTGTTGTTACTTGCCTTTGCCGTACCCTTTTTGGTCGTGCATTAGCTCTATTATCGTATTGATGCATGTCACGCATTAGGACTTCCCCTTCTTCCCACGTTCATCTCCACGACGTCGTTGTGTGTTGATTTCTCAATCCTTTCCTGGCGTAGGGTTGCCTCGTTGAGAAGCAGCTGCTCCGCCGCCAGCTGCTAGCCACCCTATCCACCTGCCAAGGAACAGACGTCGAGCAGCTGACGGTAGCCGGCACAAGCGCCGCCAACGTCGGAAGCCCTGCCGCCGCTGCCGTTGCCTCTGTCGGTGCCATCTCGGTGCCCGGTGCCGCACAGTTGGCCCTGCAGCGCCCGCTGCTTGGTGGCCTTGCCAACGCTGCCGCTGCAGCCGGCGGCCTCGGCGCTGGGCTGGGGCTCGGCGGCGGCGCGGGAGCAGGCCTCGCCTCCAGCGGCCTCGGGGGCTTCCCCGGGCTGGGTCCTGCAGGCCTGGTGGACACCACCGGCGGCGGCGTCATGGGCCTCGGCGCGACGGGGCTGCGGCCCGGAGTCTTGGCAGCGGCGGGGCTGGACATGCATGCGCTTCACATGGGGGCAGGTGGCGGCGTGGTGGGCGGCGGGGCGGCCAGTTTGGGTAACCTTGCCACGGGCGGGGCCCAAGGCCCGCTGGGGTTGGGCTCCGCTGGCTCGGGGCTGCTCGGCGCCGGCCGGCCGTCTGCAGCGCTGCAGCTGCAAGCGCTAGCGGAGACGCGTGCGGCCGCGGTGGCGGCGGCGGCGGCTGGCGCTAGCACGGTAGTGCCGCCGCAGGGCGTCACCGGAGCCTTTGGTGCTGGAGGACCGGTGGTGCTTCCCGGCGCCGGAGGCGCTGCTGGTGGCGCCGCCGCTGCTGCTGGAAGTAGCAGCGGCGGCACTGCTGCCGCTTCTGCCGCTGCTGGGTACTCTGGTCCGGACCTGCTGACTCGTGTGTCTCTCAAGATCATGAACTGTCTGCCTGACGAGCTGCCTAGTGACATCCGCGGCCGGATGCAGGCGTTTGCCAGCCAGGCGCCCCTGGACCTGGTGCAGGGCTGCCTGAGACCAGGTGAGGCTGAGGAGACGGCGGGGAGGAAGGGGGTGAAGAGGAGGGGACGAGGAGGTGGGGTTGGAGAAGGTGTGGAGGGAGAGGGATGCGACGTGGGTGCTGGCTGATGAGGTTTTTTGTCGGAGCCACGGAATGTATTGTGGGGGGGGTCGAACGGATTTTTGTGTGCGTGGTCGGAAGCGGCCGCTATGGCTTGTGTTTCGAGAGCGCGCTACGCGGTTGCCCATACTCACCCACCCACTCAGCTAGCTGCGTTAACTCCGTTCTTCACCACGCACACACACACACACAGTCTCTCTCACCAAGGACGCTATGACGCCGCTCCCGCTCTTGTGCTGCAGGCTGTACGGAAGTAGTCCTGGACGCACTGCACTGCGGCGATGAGGCACGAATGGTTTCGGAGCTGCTGCGCAACGGGAACGCCGACGCCGCGGCGGCTGCTCTGCTGGCGGCGTTACCGCCGGCGCTGCACAGCAAGGAGATCTACCTGCAGGCGGCCGACAAGGCGCTGTGCCTGCGGCCGGGTGCACCTCCTCGCCACACGAGCTGGGCGGGTATGGGCATCCGGCGTGGCGGCCTCCGTGTGTCCAAGCCTGTGCTGGCCGGGGCGGAAACCCTGGTGGTGCACCTGAATGGGGCGGGTGAGCTCTCGGGGGCTGACGGGGAG